ATCGATTATACAATCAAAAACTAAATTTAGCTTTACTCAGGAGCGAGATATCTCGAGAGATATCTAATACCGATATTAATTAAATTATATAAATCATTCTCTTTAATGCGCGTACTTGTTTCTTACCGGATTACTTATTAGAGCATGCTACTAATCATAGACTCTTATCTGATACGGTAATCTAAACTTGTGCAAAGAGAACAAATCAATTACGTAGATTCACGTAAAATTATGTAGTTACACAGATTTTTGTTCGTAAGAGAGATAAAAAAAGAGATAACAGTAATATGTAGTTATGCAAATTTTTGTTCGTAATAAGAGAGATAAAAAGAAGAGGTAATAGTGGCAAAGGTGCGACACATTGCAATGTAATCGCACTTAAATGCAATCGTATATGAATAACGCGTTTTTTTCCTAACCATCGCGAGGAGAAAATGATGCTCTCATTGTTTCACATCGTGCACACATCGTTTTGTACGGATTTCGCGATGACCACGCGATCCTAACCGCGGTTCGTGGATCACAGATTTTCATTATCGTCTTTCAACGCGCTCGCGTGTCAGATATTTAACGCTCGAAAACAAACGCATTATCGTAATAATTAGTCGTACAATTTACACGTCATTACCCCGCGATTTCGCGAATATTGTTCGCGAATTTTTCATTATAAATCGCGAAAACAGAGAGAGTTTTGGTCGGATTGGATGGATTTTCTGTCGAAGAGCCACAGGCTTGGGAGAAACGCAACGCGATGCCGTGAAGCTTTCAAATCGTCAATTAACTTTTTAACGTGAGACCGCTTTTTCACCTGGTGATGTTACTGAGATTTTTCCGAATGAACATCCTCGCAAAGATTCATTGTATTAATTTCGAGGACAAGGAAGTCGAAAGCGGAAGCGTGTGGTACACTTTGAAAAGGTGCGCTTCACGCTTCCGGATATCTGGGATTATAACATAAATGCGCGAGATTCGTCAAGCGATAAAATGAAGGAGGAAGCGCATTAGTGCGCGCAAATACAAATATAAGAATAAATTTACTAAGTCTCTGCTTAGGATGCGCTTTTTAAATCACGTGTAGACGTAGCAACCGCTGTAATAATAGTAATTTTCCAGTCTCACACGTGATGGCCGTCTAGTTGAGAAGTCAGTCTTGCGAGACTAATCGCATGGTAATAATTCATATTTGAATGTGCTTTTCAATTATGGCTGTTTTCCATGCCGCGGTTAAACTCTCAGTTCTCTCGATGTACGCGTCTGAAACATTTGCCATTAGCAAGTCAGCAACTTATTTACTGGAAAGAAGAGAAGACGATTCGTAAATCGAAGATTCGTATAAGTTATTGCTAAACGCAATATTTGCGGATTGAAGCAAATAATCTTGGCGCGTAAACCTACCTTCATAATTAATGTTTTCTTAATAACGGCGGAACTACATATGTTTGTACGCTCGTAAACTTTCTTACATCTTTAATATATAGGTTTTGCCTTCACTCTCGAGATCACTCCGTTATTAGATACGTACTTTCTAGCGGATATAAGGCAGCAGAAGCAGCAGGAAAAATAACACTGTTTTAATAATATTTAATTATTATTTAATCTTCTGCCTTTTTATGTCTCCGCTTAATTTTAAGGCACTAACGCGATAATTATTACTGCGTTTAATCAATAAATCACGAAGATATAGCATTACATTATATAAAACGTGCAAAATAGAATGCGCGATAATAGAAACATGCAAAAATCGATAAATTACTATTATTGGTAATCTATACACGTCTTATTTACGATTTAGGTATGTACAATGTTATTTTACTTTGAACTGCATCGTGACTATTGATAACCCCGGTTTATATCCCGTACTAAAATTGCAACAAATTGTCGCTCACGATAGCAATTACAATAAAACGCCCCTATGCAGATGTCGATCACCGAGAGTACAAAGTGGATCATGATACGTTCGCGTCATTACTTTCGTTTATCGTAGATCATGTTCTCACAACGCAATTTAATGCATATTAGAGTACGAATTGCCGCTTTAACATTACCTGCAGTAACTACAGTCGATATTAGTTCTCACGTCCCAGATAATTAAGCTTTACCATAATGATTTAAGGTATCCACACATGATAGTGACACGAAATGAAGAAATAAGAAAATTGGATTTTAACGTTGAAATTATGCTCATTGTGCTTCAGGGTTATAATAATTAAACAAAATTGTAGCTTTTAGGCATTAGTTCTATTTTTGTGTAACAAATAAGTTTTAAAAGATTAGATCTCGTATAAGCTGCCCAGAGCATGAACTGAACTCGTCAATATTTTGTGTAACTTGATGAAAAAAACTAATTTAATTAGGAAAGTGTTGAATGTCTTCATTTTGTATCAGCAAATGTGAAAATGACTAGCTGCTTTACCGGTTACTGTCGTTGAAAGCAGTTGAGAGAAACACCGTTTCTTCTGATAGACGGCGACTCCTCTCCGAAGACACTCGTTCAATGTACGATTCTTCAATTTAATTTCTTAAACATTAACGACTGATAAGATCAACTCATATAAGAATTTTTACGCTATTAAATAATGGTTCGACCGTACACAATAAAAACTTATTATTTAAATAAATTTAAATTTTAACGTTTAAAAGTTTTATTAAACTTCTAAAATTCGGCATATCTGTGGAAATTAATTTCTTGATTCTAAGTGCGGCATTTAACGATGCGAACGTGCGTGGGCAGCTCGCTTCAAATTAAAACGAATATCACACCAAATGTCAAATAACTGGCTTTGAGATCCTCTCACTCTAAGTGATTAGGTGATAGGAAATTTCGTAATAGAATTACTAACCGCGAAGGATAAACATAAGGATGGCGAAATTTAAATTATTAGTTTGGTTAACACGATTTTATTTTAAAAATGAAATTTTCTTAATTCAAATTATTGAATTAAATTTCGTAATTCTTCATGGAACACTCATAAACATAATTACATACGAGAGCTGATCTGTCTTCTTTTATTATAAGTATTATACTAATCACAAACGATCGGAAATTTAATCTTTTGTTGTGATTAAATGTCAAGTTAAATTTTTATTCAAATGAAGACGAGCTGTTTAATTTACATAAAGAGAAGAAAACCATAAATCATGAATATAATTTAAAATCCGTCAAAACTCTGACATTTAAACAAGCTACTAGCCTTCTCACGTTACGCTACGGCGTTCGTGATCTTAAGATCTTAGCGGAGCGCAATATTTTTTAACGAAGGGCAGTGTGACGTCGTTCGCTCCGCGTAATTGTCTTTAGATGGAACGGTTTCGCGAGTCAAGGCGAAGAGGTGCGGCGGGACAGATAGAGGAAGCGAAAGGACACCGGTGGGCCTGGAAAACGGACGAAAGGGGAAGTAGACTTCGCGGCAGCGCGCGATCTTTCTCGGCGACGGCGAAGGGGAGAGACTCTTACTTTCAGCCTCGGCGTCGCGTGCGCTAATGGCCGCGATTGCGTAACCCGTTCCCGTGCTCGCAGCGGCGGAGACGAGCACGTAAGTCGTTGCCTCAAGTCGTGAGTCAAGTGGCAAAGCCAACGTGCGCGCCGCTCCGCGACCGAAGTGGGTCGTGCAGAAATTAGTCGCGGATGCATCGGCTTCACCTCCGGCAAACGGTACCGCGATGGGCGCCAGGGGAACCTCTGCCGCAACGAAACGCGGCAAGGATTGGGTAACGAAGGCCGGGATAACGAGGAATAATCGAAGATCGACTGCTCCGTTCGCCCTTTCGGGCTTCTTCACTCCGTTGCGCCTTCGATGCGGCGCCGGTTCATCGTAAATCGATACAATGAGATGAAGCGGAACACCTTCTATTCTCTCTTTTCTCTTCGCGTTTTGCAAGGAGATTCTCCATCAGATTTATATATTTAAATTTAAGAGCTCGCATAAATTTTTTTTACAAGAATATTAGTAAGAATCAATGAAGTGCATTCGTTAAATTGCTACTCGAGCACTTCCTGCTCGAGAATGGTTATTTTATACTTTGCAACGTTGAAAACTTTATGAGAAAATTTGACCGAAAAGGTCACGGCATTGATGACAATTAAAATCACGAAAGATAGCATACACGCGTGAATAATGTATTAATTACATCCGAATATGTTTTCATTGAGCTTCCCAAACTTTGGAAATATTTTCCCTGGCTTCGTTACATCAGTTTAGTTTTTCAGATTAAGATGGTAACTTCTCTGCGGGGGAAAATAGAACCCCCACTATGGGAATTCACTCAGATTTTCATGTTTCCCGGGGGAAATTCTGAGAATATAGGATAATGAAGGTCGAAGTAATAAATTTAGTTAAACATTGATTATACCGTATTATATATGCATTTTCCTCAAGGTTTTATTGTGCACATCAACTTTTAATTTAATATCCTCTAAAGCATCGGTAAATTTATATATTATACACAAGATAAAATAGAACAATAATATAAAACAATTACTGATTTACTGATTCTATAAAAATTTAATTTGTTATTGCTGATTTCGTAAATAATAATTAAAAAGTAAAAAATTGAAATTTTTTACCCTGGTGCAGAGTAGATTACGAACAAGGTTATTGATTTAGCGAAAATTCGTTGTCGCCGCAAACTGAGTCGACAACCATCATTTAATTTCGTGCTGTCGATAGAATACAATGACATTTATCAATAACGAATAGAAAAAAGCAGAGGTCTAAGATAGTTTGAAAAGTTGGCATTAATCTCGAGATTTTTCCTTGATAAATAATAATTTTAATTTTTATATTTTTCATACATTTTTTTAGTCAATATTAATATTAAATCTATATATTACGTACATAATATTACATAATAATATATATAGCATGTACATATATATTAAGTTGTCAAAAATTCCACAATTGCGCACATTTTTAACATGTTTTTTTTTATCAATTCTTTATTTTTTATCAATTTTTTTATTTTTCCTTTTAGAAAAAAAGAAATATATAGGAGCTAAGGAAAATGAGTAGATTACACACATAAGACACACTAATGCGCAATTACTTTACATTAATATTTATTTTATTTTCCGTACAAAAATACATATACTTTGCTAATATCGGTACAAAAGTAAGACAAGCGAGCTGCTCTCGAGCGAATATCGCTGAAGACGAGTACATCCCTACTGGTCATTCGTTCTTCCTAACTGGCACACGTCGCCGTGCCGCGTCCTCGTTGCGATCGGATTCGTAGGTACGATGGCCCGGTACGCGATCGTCTACCGGAGATCGTCCTCGATTCCGATCCAGGTACAAAGTGGCAGATATCGCTGCGCCGCACGGCAACGTTTCGGATCGGTAACCTTCGTAATCTAAGACAAGGTCCTCGCGGCTATCCGTCGTTGTCGCGGCTGGGGTTTCTTGCACGACGACGATGGATAACCAGCCGGGAGGTAGCGACATTAGTGGTGACCGTAGTCGCCACCCTCGTATCCACCATCGTATCCACCACCGTATCCACCGCCGTATCCACCGCTGTAGTAACCGCCGTGATGTTGCTCGTGATGGACGGGCACAGCCACCGGCACTTTAACAGGATAGGGGACGGGCTTCTCCACGGGGTAGGGGACAGGTTTCTCGATGTGAACGGGGTACGGCCTGTCGACTGGGACCTTGACTGCTACAGGCACGGGTCTCTCGACGGGGTAAGGTATGTGCTTCTCGACCGGATATGGCTGAGGTACTGGTACTTTGACCGGGACTGGCACATGCTTTTCGATATGAACGGGATATGGCCTGTCAACCGGAACTTTCACGGGGTAGGGAACGGGTTTCTCAACGGGATAGGGGACAGGTTTCTCGATGTGGACGGGGTAGGGCTTGGGCACAGGAACGTGGATGGGACGGTCGACCGGGACTTTGACGGGATAGGGGACGAGCTTCTCGACGGGGTAGGGCTGAGGTACGTGGACTGGGACCTTCACTGGTACTGGAACTGGCTTCTCGACGGGGTAGGGCTGCGGCACTGGTACTTTTACCGGTACGTGAATGTGTTTCTCAACGGGATACGGCTGCGGTACGTAGACCTTGACCGGGTAGGGACGGTCGACCGGTACGTGGACCGGATAGGGAACTTTCTTCTCCACCGGATAGGGCTGGGGCACGTGTACGGGCACCTTCACGAGGACCTTGACTGGATAGGGCACGTGCTTCTCAACGGGGTAGGGTTGCGGAACGGGCACTTTGACGGGAACTGGCACCGGCTTTTCTACCGGATAGGGGACGTGTTTCTCCACGGGGTAGGGGACGGCGACGCTCTTCACAACGGTCACGGTCTTTACGTGGTGATCATGACCACCGTCGATGTATCCTCCGCCAATATATCCTCCGTATCCTCCGTATCCTCCGTGTCCGCCGTATCCGCCGTATCCACCGCCTACATCAAGGCCGATGTGTCCGCCAGATCCAATATCGTATCCGCCGTCATAACCGTAACCGTAGCCAAGACCAAGCAGGCCTCGCTTCTCTTGCTTCTTCTCGGACTTCTCCGCCGATTTCTCGACTTTCGCGGTCTCCTCCGACAGCACTGTCGTAACCACGAGGGTGGCAACCGCCACGTAAACCTGAAAAAAAAACGCAATGTCGTTTACTCTCACGCTCGGTGTAAAATAATGTCAGTGTTACGATTTATTAACGCAATCGAGATCGGCCAGTCGACGCAACGCAATCTCTGAATGACGCACATCGAAGAACTGGTTGCAAAAATATTGCATCCGCGAGGTTGAACCTTTCTACTAATAACGTATGCAATAACGCACATTCGTGTCTCTGATATCGTCGCAAAACGTGAGAATTTAATACGAGGTATGTTTTACATAATATTCTAGATGAATATGAACAATTAGATAAATGTTCATATTCATCTAGAATATTCGTCTAGAATATTCTAGAATCATCTAAAATATTCATAGATACATATCATAGGTATCATCTTCGCGCTTCAATAAAAATCTATTCTGATCCATATAATTATAATGCACATATACATCACCGCACGATGTAGTAGATATCCTCTCCAAACTCTAACAAAAGCTTAGAAATAAATAGAACCCAAATGCTGCGATAAAATATATTAAATATGAAGACGATTCGTTCACTTCGCAATAAAGTGAAACTGCTTTAAGAATCGCGTAACCGTCGACGTTGGTAAATTGCGGAATGTCCGGTCAAAAAAAGAAAAAGAAAACACTTCTCGAGCAACTTATTCGCGGAATCCCTTAACGCGTTTTTTTTTACGAATCCATCGCCACGAGGATTCTCCCTCGAACGATTCACACCCCCAATTATTCCGAGATTCTCCGTCGTCTCGTTCACTTTTCGTAGGTGCCCTTTATCTATTCGGGCACCTCTTCGGTACACGGTTTCTCGGACGAGTTTCCCGAAGAGTCTCCGCGACGACCGGGCGAAAGGTATCGACGAGCGAAAAGTGTCGACTACGACGACGGTGGACGTACCAGGATTCTCATTTTTGCTCTCGCGATGTTCCGGGTGCGTCCAGGAGTGAACTGGATGCTGATTGCCGTCGATTCCTGGCCTTATATACGCGGCACACTTTCGCCTTCGCCACCCGGGGGCCCGTCGGGTCCGGGGCCCGAAGTCGTATACCCCCACGTTACACCTCTTTGTTCAGCTATGACGACGACGCGGTCCCACCGTCCCGAGCGACCACCACTCCCCTTTGGGACAGACGCCCCACTCCCCCTCCCCTATACGAATACGCGGAGTCGCGAAGAAAACGCTCCTCTCCTTCTTCAACGAACGGGTTTTTCGTCCTCTTCCTCCTTCGTCGACCGCTCGTACGAGTGCTTGACTTCTTTTTTTTTTCCTCTCGTCGCATATCTTTGCAAGGTACCTTGGCTGCGCTTTGGTTTTATACGATACTTTCTCTGTGGAAACGACGGACATACCGATCGTTACCGCCGTGGACTCCCCTTGGTGTCGGAAGCTGCCGACGGGACATCGATCGTGTCCGCGTGCCTTCCCAGTTCGGGCAAACGCCCAGATTAACCCAGTACGTGAAAAGTCGCCTCTTCGCACGTAACGCCCCGAGAATCCGGCTTGAACGGGTCACGATCCGTTTACCGGCAAATCTGTCAGCCGATACGGATATATCGGGTAGAAACGCGTCAATCCAGCGAGCTGCCTCGTCGACTGTCACCGTGCCGTTTATGTCTCGCGGGAGAGATTTATACGTCGATACGAGTTAAATAAAATTTCGTTGAAAATCAAGTTTTGTCGATTTTGGTGTTACATCCGACGACGTTCCATTAATTTTCCTAACTTGGGACTATCCCCGTTTCGCAGTTAAAGTGCGCTCGAATCGAGCTTTCGACTTTTACTACATCACATGTCGCAGTTTCTCGAAGTAGAGTTACCCCGCGACTGGAACGGAAATCGGCAAAACCCTTCCGGGGGATTGAATCACAACCATCGAAACGCGCAATCTTCGATTGCGCGTTTTGCGAAACTTGGTATTTTATTGCCATGAACTATGCACGATCTCTTGTCTTATCGAATATGGGAGAACTGTATATTCTCAATGAAATTTATTAATATATCTTTGTTTCAACGCTCTTTTCATCTCGATCTACGATAAATTACACAAGCTATCTATATACATTATCGAGTATATACGAGTACATATACGAGTATCGAGTATCTATATATTATATACGTAGGACATTGACATATACCAACCTAGTTTCTCCGTCAGCAAATTATACTAATTTCCTATCCTTTTCCTACAATTTCGTGTTCGCAAGAATGCATAATTCACATTCCAGTGTTACGTCTGGTCTCCTCTGTATGTCTTCGACATTGTAAATTTCCCGCTTTCCACTCTGCCGCTTCCGAATAGCTTAAAATACTGTAGAAATGTTACTTCTTCTGTTTTATTATTTTAGTCATGATTTCAAATTTATGGGATACACGTGGTTCCCCAAGATATTCAAGTCTCAATTCGTTATATATTTCAGTTATTCGTTAAGAAAAAAGTATGTTTAAAAAGAATACCTATTTAGTAGATTTCAGCCTCAATAATGAGAAATTTACATTTAACTCGGTAAATGACTAAAAGCGAGAGCAGTTTCTCGAATTGCACAGAATTTCCTTTCATTTTCTATCATCTTTCCCCGCTAAACCTATACGCCGATCGCACTGACGCAACGTGACGCATGTTTCAGCTACGTGCCGTTCAATACGTCATTTTTCGTGGCGATCGACTGCAACGGTCACGCGAATCGCGCGCGGATCAACGTCGTCATTCATCCTCTCTCCCTTTCGCCATTACCGTTCCGTTTTCGTCCTCACCTCGCCCGCGTACGCGCCGCGGTGCCCAACGCCTCGCAACGGCGCCACGTAATAGCGTACATGCATACAGATACAGACGCATACAAACGGGGCGCGCAGCACTTGGCTAGAATTTATCTCCTGCCGATCTCGTGGGTGTACACCCATTGCTCCCTTTCGTGGGACCCGCGGTCCCACGTCACGATCTCGCTCCAACGCTCAACGGTCGGCCGGTAAAGTTCCGTTTTCCTCCTCCTCCTCCTCCTCCTCCGCCTCCGCCTCGCAAGCGGCCAAGTATGTCGATGTTTACGGGACGTGATCACCTTACGCGACAACGCCGTGTGGTATTACTATATCAACTCCACCCAGCAAATGATACCGCGGAAATCCACGCACGGGGTTACAAGTTGTTTTTTCACGGGCGAAAGCGAACGTGTTCCGCAATGCGGAATGAAGGAAGAGGAAAAGAGATTCCTTTTTCCATCGAGAGATACAATTTCGCGCGCTTTAATTCGTCATATAACAGTGAAGAATCGGAGACAAAAGCTCTCGAAAGTGGTTTCATAATTTGACTTACAGAAAGAACTGATTTTCTACTAGAAAAGATAATAGAACTTGAATTAAAATGAGAGAAAGTGAATCGATGAGTAAGCTTCCAATATAAAATGCATTTATTTTACAAAAAATTAATTAAGGATCTGCACATGTTGATTATAAGATTAATACAGTATTAAAAGAATTTACATAAAAATGTTCTTAGTGCATATCTTCTTCCCTATTTGTATTTTTTATTTGCTTCCGTTATGTCATATTCGAATTCACTCTCGTTCTTCTGGCTATTAATTAAAACTAACGAGAAGTGCTCTGATTTTAATGAAGCTTCTCATAAGAGGCTACCGTTTTTCTGACTGAAAAACTGCATCAAAGTGATCCAGACTGCCTGACGATGCCTGCCATTCAGGGCGAAGGCCTCACCTCGACTCCGTTCAACCGTGTAACCCAATTCAATCGCGTTTCTTCGCTGAACGATTCTTTCCCCTTGAATATCGATATACGACGCCTCGTTTTAAAGCGTCTCTCCCGCGATGTCATTTAGATGCGCTCGCCCACCTGTGAAGTGTGGGCAGACAAGAAAGGTTAATCGATAAAAATTTACCAGTAAAAGCAGCCGCAACTGCGAAATCAGGTGGCTACCTTCCCGCGGCGAATTTCGCAACGCCAGAAAATTTATGCCGAATTTTATATTCCACGGCCGCCTGACCGGATTGTCCGCCGCGTTCTGAATTCGGCTTACGATAATTATCTGTCGCGCATAATTTTGTATCTGCATCAAAACGCAAATTGATGCGCAATAATGATCGCCATATAATCAAAAGTATCATAATTAATAGACGAGCGGCTATTTGCACGCCGGTTGTAAAATTCGATTATAAAACCGATGCAAAGTTATGTTTCTCAACATACAGTAATGAATCCGGGATAGTCGGCGTGGGTGTTTATAGGCCGTTCCTTCCTGAAATACGTTTTTAGCCTGGGAAATTGTGGATTTCATTAATTTCGTCGATGACTTCACGCGCGCTCTGATATAGCCGCAATATATACAACATACGTATGTACGGACGTCACGCACGTTACGACACTGTATTTTCAAACGACGGGAGACCCGGTCAGCGAGCGAGAGACGCGCCAGTCGTGGAAAGTGGAAGTGTCGGAATAACGACCGGTAATTCCGAGCCGCGGCGGATCCCCCGGGTGGATCGCCTGGATGGTATTACGTAAAGGTCGTTGCCGATGAAGAGTCTCTCGGTGAAACGGCAATGTTCGCAGCATGCTCGCCGGTTTATTGCCGAGCGTCCTGTCTCTCGCTCTCTCTCTTTCTCTACAGCCTACCTGACAGCAATGTCGGTCTACGCGCGCCGATGAAAGCGAAAGAGAGAGAGAGTACTGTCTCTACCGTCATATTACTAGGTCCATAGAAACCGAGATTCTCCGTAACCCCGCCGACCTCATTGACACTGGCCTTGAAGGCCTCTCTTCAAGGTTCACGAAAAATGACAACCCGGACATGACCACCGCATCGTTTAGCTTTAGAACCGCTGCGACTTGAATCTAGACCAGTCATGAATAAATAATCAGATTGCTCGATATAATTCCTTTCTCTAATTCTTTATAAAATATAAATTCTTTATAGAAGGCAAAAATAATATATATATGTATATAATTAGAATAATGATAATTTATATATTAAAATATACCATCTCTTTTATATATTTTATAATCATCAAATTTGTATGATTTTCGTCTTACACGAACTTTTTTCTATATTTTCTCGTTCTGTTAACGTACATTTCAATTGCCGCGGTAATATCTCTCAGTATTGTGTATTATAAAGTCAGTTAATTAAATAAGCGTGACAGGAGGAAGCTCGTTGTAACGAATGACCGTCAACTTTTTCGTATTGCCAGGAATATTTTATTCCTGGCTCTTCGAGAATGCCCCCACGCGCTGCAATATTTCTTCCCGTGCGCGTACACAAGGCTGATTCAACGCTTCATTAAGTATGCCGAGATATGCGTAAGAGGCATGATATAAGCTAATTAGCTTTCTCCCATATTTTACAGGAATTTCGTGGCTGGCGTACTGCAGTTCCAACTGTATCGTTCGCTGTGCCAGGCTGCGGGACAGAGGTTCGGGCCCGACAATCCGAGGAGGCCGCTGCACAGATGCGACTTTTACAGAAAGCCCGAGGCCGGCAGAATCTTGGGGTGAGACTCGAAAAATCCATTAAATTAACATGCACTTAAATCAAAAGCCTCCGGAATGTCACTGTGTCATTTTTTACGCCACGTCTTGCGCAAATCTGTTGTGTATGAAAAGTGGACGTGCAGGCATAAAGACTTGCATCTTTTAATAATCGGCTTTTAATCAACATGTACCCCCCCGTGTGCACGCTTTCGCAACGCCAACGGCGCGTTTCTTTACGACACGAAAGCGAACGCGACGAGATCGATCGCGACCACCAGTCGCCGGCTTCGCCGAATTCGCTCGCGAAACGGAAATGCTCGAGACGCGGAAAAAACGAACGTTTCTCACGTCGCGCTTGCATAGTAAGTCTTTTTTACGATTGAAAAAGCTGCGCCGTTAGTTCGAGCCATTTCAATGTCCGGCAGGCGACATGAGACGGGTATACGCGAAGCAAGCAGAAAAACGCACAAGTACCAGTTAAATGCTGTATTAAAGCCTCGTAAAATGCACAGGTGAATACGTAACTCGGTAACTTGTTTGACTATATTCGATGACGCCGACGGACGTTAATTATGTATAATTGAAAAAAGATGTTGACACGGAATTTTTTAATTTACGCGACACGTATTTGAGATAACGATATTTGAGGAACGCCAGGCATTGCGTTAAAATTTTCGCGCAGTTTGAGAGGATAAAGATTATCTGAATAAATATAAATCTTAATTGAAAAAAAGTGCAGTGTAATCTAGGTCGAATAAAAAAATGTAGATCACGGAGAATGACACAACATCGAGAGAAAGGAAGCAGGATGAGGGAAACGCTCAGTAATACTGCAACTTCATCATTATATATTCCTTTAATTGCTTTAATTGTTTTTTTCCTTGATACGAAGCACTTTTTAAAAAGTTCGATTTGCAATATTTTTTAAAATAGATAGCAACGCGTCAGGATCGCATTTAAAATTAAGATTCTGCGTTACATAAATACGATTATATCTCAATTTTATTTAATTAATTTTACAAGGTTTAACGTTAGGCGTGAAATCGTTAATTCTCGGTTTCTTAATTTTGTTGCCGTCTAATCTCGACATTGCGCCAAAAATGTCACCGAATGTAAAAAGACGGTGCTTCCAAAGGTAGCTATGTTTTTTATTGCCCATTTTACTTTTAAAATTTGCTAATTATGTCCAATTCCACAAACAAGACGTTCTTGACTCGACTTAACCCGATGGCCATATATCGGAGCCGGATTGCCATCTCAAAATGTCAGAAATTCACGGAATTTTACAGCAAGGCGGGGCGGCCGCAAACTCGATCGATGTCTCATTCGGGGTCTTGACATTTTGGCCCCGAATAATTTTAAGATTCAAGGTTAGAATTTTTTACGCCAAGTTAATGCACGCGTGATAAATACAGAAACTGAAGCTTCCTGAAAAGAGAACGAAAAAAGATCGTCCCGCCTTGTCGGCTGATATTTTGCGATCGTCGCGACTAATTTAAAATCCGGATGGAATATTAATTCCTATATTTTAGAAAATTATACAACGTGCTCGTATTAAACAACGTGACAACGTAATTTTTATTCGTGACCTCGCTGAATCAATTAAAAAAGTGTAAATCTGCGAGTTAATGACACACATACACGCACTGACCGCGTTTATATATGTATAACATAATTATATCAGAAATATAAATTATATGTATATTTTTTAACTATTGAATTTTCGAGAGCGAATTATAGTTTATTTCAGACTATGTCGCCTAGAGTCCGACAATTTAGTTTTATATCGCCACCGGAGCGTCCAGTTGAACTTCGCATTTATTCGCTTGCACAATCGCGTCCGTTGCGTGCTTCTCGCGCAACTATATTTGGAATATGGAGCATGAAATCTCTAGGACAATTTCGACATTCATAAACTGAGTATATCTTTATGATGTTTATTCTCGTGTGAATATCTTCCAAATAATTCCGCCAATGTAGACACTATAACTACTGACTTGAATTCATTAAAGAGCGTAGCAATGACGGGAGAATTTACTTTTGTTTATCTTAATTATTTTTAGATTGTTTTAGATTGTTAAATTTGCCAACGACCGTTCTTTCCAAGAAACTGTGTCGCGTCTCGTGTAGCTTCCCATTGAGAACAATGCGCGCCTAAAGCGCGCATTTTGGAGCGTTTGAATAAATCACAAAATTAAAATGTAGACAATGTGATACAACACGTAATAATACAGCTCTGCTGCTAACTGCCTCGAGAAAGGTGATGCTAAGTAGTCGTCTTTAGCGCCGAAGTGGCGTCTTTTATGTTTACGCGGCTTCGAGGTTTCGCGCAAATGTTCGGCGCCGCGGATTGCGGTTTTGCGTCGTTGATTACGGGGCGCACATTTATGCACGCGAGCGCGATCGTGATTCCCGGCGCGTGTTGCAATATGCGTGCGCCACGGTAATGACGCTTATTGTTAAGATCGTATCGTCTCCCACCGCCCCTCTCCGTCTCTCTACGGTGCACACACGCGATTTTTGACACGGCGCCTTTATTAACGGAGAACTCGCTTGCACTTGCTCGTACGCCAAGCCAAACAATCTTCGTCGTTATCCGCGACTGGTCCACGTTGAATTTCATTGATCGCGCCTCGCGCGTGGCCGAGCATTATATCACTGATCGCTTCGCGATCGGATCTCGGTCGCCTTCTCGACGAGCGATCCGGCGGACTATTTGGGTCAACGAGAGGGAAATCTTCGCTCGGTTCTGCAATTTCGCCGGTGCGCCGACCAGACATTTGTCCTCTCGACATTATTGCGATTGCGTCGCTTCTACAATTTTATTTAATCAAGACGAGAGTATCCCGATAATGATAAATAATAACGAGGGTTGATAACCATTTACGGAAGGCGAGACGCGGATCTTACAATTGGTTCGCGGAAAGGCGGACGCACGTAATCGAGCTGGTAAAAAAAGCTGGCGAAACTGCAAAAACATGGGCGTTTATAATAAGTACTATATTGATATTACACACATCGATATTTATATAATCTCCACCCGGTTACGTGGGTAAAAGTTCTTGCAGTAATACATGAACGATACATGAAACGTGTAATACGATTTCCATATTTAAGTACGCGAAATATATAGTAACGAATATGTGAAGACGCAATTTTCATATATTAATTGCGAAAGTGAAAACCAGTCAAGATTAATTAGCTTTATGTTTATTATTCCATTAGAATTTATAATTTTTTTAAACTGACCTTCGTGGACTCGCAAAATATTTCGTGCGATTAAATTCCGGCACGTGTCGAAAAGTAAGATAATAAAAAATTGATTCCCCGCGCGCACGCACGTAATAAAAATTGCGAGAAGCGCGAAATCCCGGGACTGCCATTTATTACTGCAAAAGGAGCGAGATAACATACGCACTTAGCTCAAACGCCCGTGTTTCCTTCATCGTTATGAAATCGCATTCGCGTTAAAGAGTTACATAAAATGACAAAAAGCATCGGGCGGCAACAGTTTTATTCTAACGTGATAATTTATGTTAGAAACGTTCCCGTCTCTTTTACGATGCACACTCGCGGGCTGAGCCCGCGGACTCGTTCGTGCACATTTACAGGCGTAACGCGGGCAAAGTTTTATAGACGTGGAAAGTTGCATGATCCTCTTGGCACAAGCGGAAACTCGATAAGGATTGTTCCGCGTTTGGAAGTGGGTTCGTAGATCGAAATCTCTTTTGGCGGGCGGCCAAGTTGCCGAGGCATCCTGCAATAAAGCAGTTTTCGTTGAGGTCAAACTAATCTCGATAGAATATAGAATTTAAACTGCAATATGAACGCCGTAATGCAATATTAAATTATGTGTAAAACTCGAGCAAGAGATTTATAGATCAAAATTTCGATTAACTGTTGCAAGCACTCGTTGAACAAACGGGGAACGATAGAACGATAGGAGTATAAAAGGGTGATGAAGAAACGGGGAATTTCCAATTCGACGATTCATGATAAATGCGTCGCGATATAATAAATTTAAATCACATTTATGTTAATAAAATGTTTCCGAATGTGTCTCAGCTTTTTTATCGTCCGCCCGTTGCTCAGACTTGCGGTCGATACACGAGCCTATCGCGTAGCACGTTGCGAACTGTCGGCGTCCAAACGGAAAATCAGCCAGAGATCGTTTACCGTGCGAAGATCGCGATTTCATCGATCAAGATCGCGCCGACTTCCTGGCAATGAGCAATCGAAGGACGATCTCGAACTCGCTCTACGGCGCGTGTCGGCGATGACGGCGACGTCGCGCCGATTGCGAAAGCGCGGTATACGCGGTATAAAAAAGAAGAAGAAAAAAGAAAACAGAAATATAGCGTGCGTGTGTCGCGTAAAGGAACGCGCGAGAGAGTCCGTAGCGCGGCGAAAGAGACTCGACGCTCGGGAGAGTGCAACGCGCTGTTACGTGTCACACTTCCGTTTTCACTGCCCGAGATTCGAGGGCGTCACACGCGAATGAAGAACTCGCGCGAATCGCCATCGACAACGGATATTTTAATAATAAAAATTCGCAAACAAAATCGATGCCGCGTTTGCATAATCGAGCACGCGATGTATTCGTCTGTGAAATCAGAAAGGGTGCAGTCTTGCAAACTCTTTTGTGAATAACTTTTCGAGCAACACGCGAGGAAATTTCGTAGATTGCGGCGCTTCTTCAATCTAATTACGCTTGTCATGTCATTTTTAATTTTTGATATCTATACGACATAATTTTTCTTCTGCGTACTGAAAAATGTCGTAAAGATTATTCCATTTTATTAACCGGATTTTTATGCCGGATTTGGAGAATTTATATTCTCCTTTGATGAAAGCTTAATTGACGTGGTATCTTCTTCGTGACGTGGTATTTCAATTTTTAATTAGCAACTTTAAACAGTGTGACATAAATTTTGTGGTCAAGGTTTAGATTAAGGTCTCGCTTGGAATTATTCAAAAGATTGTGTTATTTATTTACATTTTATATTTATTTTATATTAAATTATGAGTGGATTCATTGATATTATGATATTATTGCTATTCTATATTCATATTCATCAATGTTACTTGATCACATATCGATTCTCTGAATTGCAAAATACGACATCACGGTTGACTTATGCATTCGCTAACACACCGACATGGTGATTTAAACGCAAATGCAAATTGATACTTCGTCCTTGAACGCCACGGACGATCACGCGGAGGATCGGAAAGGAATCGTTTGAAAGTGGCTACCCCGCGATCGAGCAAACGGCAAAAAGGTTTTGCGGTATACTGTACAACATTCACGCCTTGAATGCAATTGAGAGTAACTGCCGCGTAACTGTTCCCTCGGAGCCTTCTGAATGCATAAAATCACCCCTGCCCACGATCGCAGAAACCAAAACGTGATTTAAATGACCGACAATGAGAGCGCAATCATATCCGTTTTAACTCGCTGTTACACATCCGTACGTTTACAGTAATTTGCCGTTATTGTGGATCCTCAGCGATACTTTCACCATCCAATCGCTTATTTCTTCATAAAATCTGAAATCTGTCTCTGTTGTCTATGATAAATCATCTTATTTAATCTCCAGTGTTCATCTCGAAAGCAATAAAAATTAATAAAAATTTATCTTACAAAATTACGTATAAAAACACTGTTTTTAATTTAAATGTTTTGCAATACCTATATTGTATTTTTTTACATCTTCCTTTCTTTCTCACTTCTCATTTTTATCATGAAAGAGTGCATCTTATAAAAACGCTATACGTTTAAATGCGGTGCTTCAAAAATTCTAAATATTCCAACTATGAGATAAAAGTCTATTTTTATAGATACAATTAATTACAAGAATATTATTAAATGCAACGATAAATTTTATAAAAGGTTTCACCTATCTCGAATCAAGTATTCTTGAATTAATTATTCCCGAATTAAGTAATTCAGTCAGACGCTTACTGTTGTTTATTATACTTTCGCGATGAGTTTATGCACCTGTTTGTTGATACACCACATCGGCAAAACGTTCGCCTCCTCGCAGCATCTCGGCGTTACGAAATGCATCGTCGGCAGGAAAGTACCGATTTCGCCTACGTGCCGAACACCGGAAATTATGTGATCGATATAAATTACGGCCGAAGGCTGAAAGAGAGTGAGAGAGAGAGGGAGTAACGAAGAGAGAGAGATCGGGCTTCTCAAGATGTGTCGAAATGTTTTGACCATTCGAAAAGTTTTCCGAAAAGTTCTCCTCCACAAGAGGCGTGGTGGGTGCACGAATATTTTTCTTATTTCATGCGCGAGTAACCGGAAACGGATTGACGGTGGAATTGATGTCAGTGAGGAGCTCGTATCCCTCTTTCTCTCTCGTAACGCCGGCGCCGCGATTGCAATTGACATTATCCGTCGATTGCACCTTCTGATAACGTGAAATCACCGCAATTTCTCGATAGACTGCCGTGATGTAATTAATTCACGAATTTAGCCCTGAAATGCTCGTGGATACGTAAATAATTGTCGAGATTAATCTCTCTCGCACGACCTGGTTTCGCGGACATATATTGAATGCATGCAGCAAACTAAGTTTCTTTGAGACTGGAATATACAATCAACATGTTAATCAGAGGTATATGGTTAACTAAAGATATATAAGTAATTTCTCTGAATAATCTCCTATACATCAATTTATTTATCAAATTATTACAATACACAGTAGTACATTGATTATTCCTGATTCCATAAATCGTGACTATAAAGATATACGCAAAAATTTACCATTGTAAACATGTAGCGAGTCGAATAAAAGGAATTGAACGCGGCAACATTTTATATGCCCGCAAAATTCTTTTAAAAAAGTTGGGTCGAAGTTAAAAGCTTGTTAATCCATTTAGCGAACGTTGCGCTATAACGATGCCACGATACGCCGTGATTATGCATAAAGGAAAAGTTGCGAGAGTTCGCCGTTGATCCACTGGATCGATCTGAGAGGCCGCGCGATCAGCGCGGGATACCGTCGCCACCGTTGCGTAATCGCCGCGCGTCTAAACAGTCACCTCCGTCGGCACCGTGCACCAGTTCTCAGGCACCGCGGAGCGTCGCCTTTAAAGTCGTTTTAATCTTAAATCGGGCGCAGACGAAGATCGTTCGATCATCCGACAGTGTCGATGGCCTAATCTGAATTCATTTGCCATCAATCGTCCCGGCCGTGTTGAGGCATATTGTCTCGCTTCTCCGATTAAATTTGCGTATCAATTAATTTTGGAAGAGCGGCGAGACAGAAATGTTGTAACGGATGTTTGTATCCTTTTACTGCTCCAGGGGGAGATTGTGTTTTTTATCTCGCAGATTAAGAAAAAAACCGAGAATAAAAAGCATCTGGATTTTTTTCACTCTGGAAAGTCTGCGACGCCGACGTCGCTTTCAAGTTGTAACCTATAAATTGAAACGTGCGATATTATAGTCTCAAATGCATGCGTCTCAGGCAAAGTTTGTTTATCGTGCTACGAGGAAAACGAAGTAAAATAAGAAATTAAATCGATCTTAAAATATTTATGACATATTTCCATATAACTCATACTGCTTTCGGAAATATTTTTTCGGTTATATATTGGTTTGGCCAATAAGTCCGTGCGGTTATTTGTAAGTAATATTTATAAGTAAAAAACCGCACGGACTTATTGGCCAACCTATTATACATATATATATATATTTTAGTTCAGATTAAGAGGTGACAACGAAAAATATCGTCGGGAAGATATGTCAATGTCTAGAATAAAGTATCTGAAATGGAGACATACGGACCGATAATATGGCTATATCAGTTAAGTAACTCATACTTGTCGAAGATACGACGTCGACGTTGGCATAAATTGTTCGTGGAATTCCAAACGGCGGCGCACCGCAATAAATTTCGCGACGGCATTCCGCGCTGCCATAACGCGAAATATATCGCCCCACGCAGATTAAAATCGCGTCGGAAACGGTTTGTCGAATGGATTATGACATTGGACGGAGTCAGGCGCGGAGCACAAATTAGAAATATGATATGATCCCGATAGATAGAGCCGTGGAATCGTGACGGCGCGGGTGGAATTATAAAATCGCGCGTTATTAAATCACGTCTCTCGTTATGCACTGCGTGTCGTTGGTTCGCCACCTTGATTCCGTGTTATCCTTTCTTTTCTACGTCGCCGTGCGTTTCCGCGCGAAAAGCACGTCCGGCAATGAAAGAATGCCGAGTCGTAAATACCTCGTAGCGCCACGCTACTCTATGCACGCGTATACCGAATAATATCCACCTGCAGAAATCGTCGAGATTATCCCTTATGTAATCGCTTTATACGGCGCGTAATCTCTTTTTCTCGACGGCGCGGCGCGGTCTGTGCATTCCGTTTGTCTAACGACCTCGCGAACAGCGATTCCCGCTGAATAGAGCAAAAAGTACCGCGCATTCTTACACATGCTCTCGCCACTCACAAGCGAATAGTCTTACTCTCGTTTAAATAATTTCATTGAAAATATTTACATTAAAATAATCCGGTAAAGACTACCGACAATTTTAATCTTAGCAACTGTTTAAAGAGCTGCTTCCGGATTACTATTTTGCGCGGGATATTATTTTAAAGATCACAGAAAGCTCTACGTTTGTATCTCTTTCCAGAAAAATATTCCAGTTTCAACGAGTTCTAGTGTTCCAACTGATAGCACAATTTCATTATAGAAGATTCGATGGAGTGCCGCAAACTAACGAATTGTTTTGATTCGCAGGAGATTGATGGAGAGGGGCTCGTCCATCCCGTGGCAGGAAACGCTGCGAGAAGCCACCGGCGAGTTCAGATTAGACGGATCCGCTCTTAGGGAGTACTTCCGGCCATTAGAGGACTGGTTGAGGACCGAGAATTTGAGAACGGGCGAAGTGGTCGGCTGGTCATACGGTAAAGAGAGAAAGAGCGAGGGGAGCAGGGAGGGGAAAGAGATAGACCGCTCGTTTAAATTTACAGGATTTAAACCATTCTCTTTTTCGGCCGTTGCGACACTTTCCGCGCGTTGATTTACGGCGACGTCGTACGTCACGCTTATACCCCTAATTAAAGATAAATGTTACAACGGCCGGATACCACTGGAGATCGATTCAGGTGACGTTGTGGAGCCGGCGTAGTGCGACGCGATGCCTTTCGACGTAACTTGCTACAAATTATGCAATTTCCTACTGTAACAGATTGAAGGTTGCAGTTCCCACGTGCTACTTTACTGGCGAACGTTACAAATGTTCATTGTATGACGACATTCGACTTGTGAATTACGATCCGCTGTGTGTGTGTATGTTTGTTTGTGTGGTACGTGTATGTGTGTGTCCATAATACGGTGAAATTATTGAGATTAACGGCCTGCACCTAGCGAAGAGCATGCATCTTGCCAAATTCTTGACGCGCCGGTCACCGCGGTCGCGCGTTATATAAAAAACCGTTACACGTGGAAGAACTCGGATATGTACATCGTGCCCCGCGCTCATCCCATAAATTACGCCGGTGCGTTTCGCAAGCATAGCGGAGCACTTCGAGCGGAATAAGTTATGAATTCTCTTAAATAAAGTAAAACCGTTATGTATGCGTAATAAATCAAGAAGTGTCGACATCCCCGACGAACGAAAGGGAAAACGGACAAGGACCTCGACAAGATCGATCGTGGCGATAATGAGGAACGATATCGCATTCCGCGAAGCTGCGAGGAATTCGACTCTCCTGGAAGGAGAGAAAAAAAAGAGAAGAGAACGCGAAGAAATCCGCGCGCGGTGACCACCGCGCCGTTGACGGAAGAGCACGCGCGCGAATGCCAGCAACGCGAATTATCCGGCCGCCGGCGGTCTTTTTTCTTGCCTTCGTGAAACGCCGAGGCGTGTCTTTTTTTCCCGATAACGAAACGATAGCGAAACGTTCGCGCTATTTCCGCGATAAAACGCAGAGAGACGGCGCGCAGGGCCCCCGCCGTCGGGAGAGGAGGTCGATTGTAAAGTTCTGGCCCCGTGAGACTGGAAAATTGCGAAAGCGGAGTGTGAAACGAGGAAAAGGCCGCCGGGAGAAGAGAGCTAGGAAAGGATAAATATAGCGACGTACTTAAAGAAGAAAAGAGAAAGAGAGAGAAAGAGAGCGATAGGAGAATCGTGAGACAGGCTCGACGACCGCACTCTCGTTTCTATCGCGCGCCGTAAGAACTCCCCGATGCATTCATCCATCCGTTTGCGAATTTGCGAAGAGGCGAGATCGAGATTCGCACACGTGCACGTGTGCATGCCGGCATCAGACTCGCGCGCGCGCGCGAGCTTCGTTTCTTCTCGCGTGAGAGCGAACATCGCGTTCACGTCAATCGGGAGCAGGGCACGCGTGATCGAGAAATCCAATTCGACTACGCAATATTATGTAATGAGGTTCCCCACCAGCCGGGGGCGATCGATCCAGTTACACGGGATTTCGTTACAGGAAGTAATTCTGGGAGAACATACACCTTTCCCCGAAAGAGCAGATCTCTAAATTAAGATACCTATATGTTGAGCGCGCGTTCAGCCGAGGAAACTGACTTTTTCTCCGCGAGGTATACGGTATATCTTGTGGTGCGCCGTAAAGGAAAATGCAAATCACGAAATAGGAAGACGGATTAGTCATGGTAGGAATATTCGTCATGTCCAGCCGCGGAAAGTGAAAAGACACAGCGTAATGTTAGAGAGTCGCTTTGGACAACCAATTTGCATTGCAGAAGTTCGTTTTACTTGATTGCAAGCGTTATGCAGGCAACGCATATTAGTATCGTTAGCTTAACCTGAATTCGAGCGCCGGCGCGCCGCGGACGCGTGCAGAGTCCGTCTTGCATAACGTGCGCGCACGCCTTGTCAATATTTTCAACCAAAACAGCCGGACGAAACGCGACGGACAAATGCGGTGCATAAATCTGCGTTTGCTCTAGCAAAACGGTTATTTAGCGCGTTTAAGCGGCAGGAGGGGCTTCCTTCTCGGGAGATGGATTCCGATGGAAGGAGCAGATGTACGCGGAGACTCGTACATATACGTAACAGCGCGATAAGAAAAAAAAATCATGGAACGCCAGTCATATAATTTCACTTTCATTCGATCTTCGTTCTCGTTTCGCCCGGTAACGTCTCCCGGTTACGCACCGCGGTTAATGCACGTACGATGTAACGGAAAAAACAAAGAGCAAAGCTCTCGATCGAGCGAATGATAATAATTTCTCTAAACGGTTTTAAGTACCGTTACGTGCAAAGAGATTGAAAGGAACAGTTGGATCAGGTATTATTTGATACGTGTTGTATGTACATTGTACATATATAAATAAGTAAAAGTACGGCCTATACACGCGCACCGAGAGCAGGAACGTAACCGCAAATAATTGAGAGATAGATCACTTCATCTTTAAAAGAATCGGTGGATATACTTATTCCGTCTGTGCACTTTGCGGCCGTGAGCCACCAATTATCCTATCGTATTTCACTCGAGTAGATTGATGTTATTAAATTTTTCCGGTAACACTTAATCATAAAAACGATCGGTAATTTCTCGGAGCGATCGTGGCGCATTGGATAAGAAAAATCGCGTTAATACGTTATGCGAACTGAACTGAATGAAGTAATATCGGCGCATTGTGCCCGATGACGAGATAACGAGGTACGTGTTATTATTAAGTAGCGTTTCCACTCCCCGTGCCACCTTCCATCGACGTAGCCACAACTGATTAAACCCGCAAGAAATCGCTATCTAGAGACCCGAGATAGCTCGGCGCCGCAAGCCCCCTTAAATGCACGAGCAAATCAAGCGGAACGACGACACGTGATTCCAGCGAAAAAGCGATACTGATGAATTCGCCGAAAAATGTCCGCAAAACCGCGAAGAAACAAAGCCACGAAGGGAAAGGTAGACTGACCCCTCCGCCAGTGTGGTTTCCTTTACTCGCCGCGAGATTCTCTCCTTCCTGCTCCTGTCGATCTCGATTACGGGATTTTAGAACGGCCCGTTTCCTCCCCTTCGCCCCTCCCCGGCGAATCGATCGCGCGATCTCCGTAGCACGCTCACTTTGGACGATCGAGAGAATATCTTAGCTGCTATTTCGATAAATGCAGGTTTCGTTATTCTTTTTTTATCTGTTAGAGCAGCGATTTTAATCAATCGATCGTGACGCGAGTAAAATGCGAGCTGGGTTCCGTTGACCACTTTCAATAATCTAAAAAAAGTGACATAATTATGTAATTTAATAGTATGTTAATTTGTTACATAGACGGAGACTTTTGCAAAAGGAGCATAGAGACCGCGGGCCTGCAGGTTTACGGTAGCGGCTTCTACAACGGCGGCATATCCATCTCCACGTCTTGGATCGCGACAGGAACCATGATGATTCTTTGGATTGTATCAACGCTCTATTGAACGCATCAACAACCCTCTATTGAACAATTCGACAACAAGTAGCCGATTCGTCATCGAGCAATGATAATGAATTTAGGGAGAGCTCGTTATACCGATTACGCGTCATCTGCCAAAATACACCAAATCATATTCCTATAACATCACTGAATAAATCTTGAAAATAGTGAAATTATTCGCCCAAATATATCTGGTCGGTTGATGGCAAAATAATAATCGTTACTGCCAAGTAATACGAGTACTTTAAAGTACACTCTTGTCAAGCGTGTGTGTGTATGTGACAAGCTGCACGTTTTACGTGATGTAAAAAGGTCACACTGTCAATTTACAAATATTATTATTACGTAGATCTGTATAATTGTAATACTATTAATATTAAACATTTATTACTTATATATATTATATTATATGTCATGCTATAATATTATATACGCAGTATTACAATTAAGAATATAAAGCGTGCATGAAAACGTATGTATTGTGCGTGGGTGTAAATGCATAAATCATTTCATATACTTGAACGGCTCATGATTCACGCCCTGTAACTATTAGCACTGTTGTGGTTGACCAAATAAAATTATACCTACTGTTGTAAAAAAAATGCGTCGGAATATTCGCTGAAACGCTCGATTGTCCGATATTACATCATTTTTACGAACAGTTTCATTTTCTAAGTATCTGACTCTGTACGTTCCGGTTCTTCTAACGGGATTGCAAAATCGAGGCTCGGCATCGTCACGCATTCTACGACGCTACTTTTTCAGCACAAATGGGCCGAAATATTTTTTTTCGGCCCGGAACCGTCACATTAAGAGAGCTCGTTAAACGGCATACTTAACTTTCGCGTCGACGTACGGAAGGAATAAAGGGAGAATATTTTATATTCGCGAAAGAAAGAGGAATCCTCTCGAATGGCACGCACAAAAGCTGCTCGACGACAAAAGCCACGCCGGACGGCTCCCTTAACTTGCGTAATTGAAAGCCGGCGAAATCGTACCAGGTGAAATCGCGCTTTTGCTGTCAAATTACCGGTAAACTCAATCGGACCACCTTATCCCTTACCATTTTATTGCATCTTTTATCGCCGCCATTAGATCGCTCAATCCTTTTAACTACCATACCTCACGTATCATGCGCATTTTTGTTCGCTTCGGCATTAGCAGGTCGTGAATGCGAATAACGATTTTCGAGACGATCTCGATAAATAGCGTATAAACGTATATACAATTATACGATTCGCTTCGACCGCATTCTTCTAAATTACGGTGAATGATATGCCTGAATACTAAAGATTTTATAACACTGAATATTTAAAGTATCCAGTCATAAAAATCTCAATAAACTTTAATAAGGAATTTGAGCAATTAATAATTTTAATAAAATGCATATGATTCAGATTTGTAACGAACAGATGTCTTCGCGAAGATAGCATCCACTTTCTCGAAGACCGTAAAATTAGACACATGAATATTAATCTTGGATACAAACACAACAATGGGAGGGGGCTCTTATTAAACCCTTTTGTTTCACGGCCGCTCTCTCATCCGATTTTTCATTGCAGCATGCGCCGACGCGTAGGACGTCAGCTTTCACGTGTAAGAAATGCCATTATTGTTTTGCAAAGGCACGCCACTGAAACGTACCCGTAATTGCACAAAGGTGGTCCCTGCTGTCCAGAAAACTGGTCCGCCCGTCTTGCGTAATGAGAAGACGCGGAAATCGACCGCGTCGGGCAAAAAGAAACGTCTTGCATCATCATCGAACGTGCACGCATTTCATCGCGCGCGCGACCGGAAATATTTCTGATCTTATCATTTCACGCGGCGGACACGAAGCACACCATCTTGCGCATAATATACCCCGACGACGACGACAACGACGAAAGCGGAATATTTGATTTCAATACCGGTCGCGCGAGAGTTTCATATCTTCTGGCACGGCGCAGATTGATTTCTCGCATTTTCGCGATTCGCGACTGATCAACTCGTCGAATTAACGACATAGCGTGCAATTATTCCTCCCTTGCATAATCGAGAGGTAATTCGCGCCGCGAGCTAAGTCCCCGCTTCCTGTCGCGGAGAAGACACGGCGATTCTATTAACTGAAACGACGCGAATACGCAATTTTAATTCATTCCGGGATAGCGCTTTGAACACACGGAAATCGACAAAAGCTATAAAGAGACCATAGAGCCCGTAGTACCTGACTGTTCCAAATTGATCTATCCCATTACGGAATCGTAGATTGCCCTGCAATTAAGCGTCGTCGTTATTCTAAGTTTCTATCCTGGAATCATTTTGAAATTCTTACTTAACGTGAGCGAGATATTACTTCACACGATACATCAGACACATTACCTCGTTACGTTCGAAAGAGCGATTCGTATTCCACTCGATGCATATCCGCCGGTATTAATCTGAAAATAAGAAATCAAGTTGATTGTCAGGAATACATAATCTCTCCTCGTTACTCATCGGGCATAGGCGCCACCTTATCGAGATATGGACTCCTAATTTCGTTTAAATTTCCTTTCCGTCATTTGAAAACTCGATCAGATATTAAGTTAATGTTATAATATCGCGATTTTTGAAGGGATATTTCAATAACTACAAATATTAAAGAAATAGTTATTTCCACCAATAAACGAATCATATTCTTAGGTACCATAAATTGATTGATAAATATTGAAGATTCAAAATTTCAATTACTAATGATCAGTTGCACAATAAACATTTTAGATTAATTATATTATTTTCATTTTTATTTCTATCTCTCTTATTTTCATAATAAAGAGCGATGGAGAGGTAATAGGTGAAGGATAAATTTAATGAAAGAAGACATTGATGAAAGAAGTTTCTCTCCCGTTGATAATGCTAGGATTAAGCAATATTGATGGATAACGTTCGTGAGAGAGGTTTCTGAGGACCGATCATAAATCGCTCGGAGTGGAAACCGGTCAGAGATGGATGAACCGGACGTACGTCGCGGTTTGGTTGGTCGACGCCCATGAAACGGTTTGGCGATCTGCCCCAAAACTGGTCCGACCAGTTGCATAATCGGAAGACCGGGAAGTCGTGCCTTTCCGCGAAACGTCTGCGAGGCGCACAATGAGAGCCGACTGACTGGACGCCAACTCTCGTCCACTTTCACCGTCGGTCGCGCGCACCGTTTTAGCCGGTGGTTTTAGCCGCGACGCAACCACCGGTTATATCCGCGGACGGCCGAAATCGGCGAGAGAGGAAAAAAGAGAGAAAGAGAGAGAGAAAGGGCGAAAAAAAAGAGCCGCGCAATTTCGCCGCCCGGCCGGAATCGGGTGTAATCGTTTTAATTGAGGCCTCTTGGAAAGGTGGAGCCTCGACAAACGACGAACCGACGAAATCGTTTCGAAATTGTCCGTGAAAGTGATCCAGAAAGCAGATCGGCTCCACTTCGCCTCCCTCTGCCGATACGCCGGCATTGATACAGGTGCATGTTTTGTGTAGTATCGCAAAAAGAAGAAAGAAAAAGTCAATTCGTTTCATACACCTATACTTCGCGAGTTAAGCAATTCGAATGCCGACGGGCTGAGGAATCGGTTACGTCACGCGTGTCGACCGTATGGAAAATTATACATGAAATCGGTTCGCAAGATAGATAACACGAGATGGACCGGGTACCGAAGGGAATCGATCGCGCGTACTTATGGGCACGCGACGTCGTTCGGTCGTTTCGAAACTGGTCGGTGAAAGTGATCAAGCTCCAAAGAGATTAAACGATAAACATATATTAAAAGACACTAGCATTGCATATCTAACTCTCTAGTGCGCGCATTAGCATATCCAATTAATTAGCATCTAAAATGTAACTAATTAATTCGACAGAAGTATGCTAAATTGGCTTTGCTGTAGAACTTTCTACCACAGAATTGGCGATCCGTTTTGCTGTCTTTCGTCGCGTAGCAAAGATCAATATCAAAACGCAAAACTTTTGTTTTGAAATAATTCCCTTTAATCTTGTACGCAATTTTTTTAATAAAAATAAAGTAATAAAGTAATAAATTACAAATTATATTAACTTATAATTTTACGAGATTTGTCTCTACTTTCAACTTATATATAACATTGTTTTAACATAATTTATATTTCATTACATTTATGTTATGTATAGAAAATAAAACCATCATAAAATAATTTTAACGTGGCGATGATCTTTATCTGGTTTTATTTGACGGAAAAAAATAGTTGTATTACAGTTAACGGCCTGACAAATAGCGAGAGATAATGAAGGTTTTCTGCCTTTTGAAAGGCGCACTTTTGAGAAACAACAGGCTGCATCGGAATCGTTATGGTGATCGTAAAGACTATTACGTCTGCGAAATAAACTCGGGGTCAACGATATCCCAGAATAATATCTGGCATTACTTGGCTGGTAATGAGGGTAATTATGATTAGTGTTGTTCCAGCGAAACAATGCTCAATTCTTACGTAATGCGAGACATAGAGCGGCACCAATGTCACTGTCTCGAGCGGTTGATTTATTTAGGTTGATTTATACAACGAATTATACTAGCTGATGCAGAAAGCGTGAACCAGTTTAATTATTGTTTTTTTCTCGGTTTTTTTTGTTATGTAGCATTTGAATTTTATTCGCTAATTAATCTTGCATATTTATTTTAACAGCTTTTTTATACAAAGATGTAAAGAGATATAATATATGTGTACGCTTTTTTGTCGATTATATAACAAAATTTGCTATAAAAATGATAAAATCAAGTAAAATAAAATTTCATAACACGCATGTTGAAATATCCGTAACGAAAAGTCTAAAGTCAAATAAAGTAAATAACGTAACACAGGTTACGTTATCTCTTACAGTTTCGTGAATTCCCTCTTTCGTTTCTGTTCATTGATTTGAAAATTCATTAACAGCCTTGTTACTTGTTACGAAGAGATTTCTACTTCTTGTTTTTAATAAAATAAAAGGCGGGTGGAAAAGAAGAAAGTCAAGCATAATATATTCAAATTACAAAACGGAAGTGCCGGATTGCGCGTTTCAAGTAACGCTTTCGCGAGAAGTGTGATTTTTTATTCCCGCTTGAAGATTTATAACTGTAAGCCACCGTTTCATAATAATTACCGTACTAGATTTCTTTTGCGTATACTCGTCTGATATTAATCTTACCTCCCGTGTTTAAACAAACCACGTTACTAAAAACTTTTAGAATCTTTTTTATATGCATCCACATCGTGTAAAATAATCTTTTTGTCTAGATTTTAATTTATTTCCAATTCTTGTCTTTACCATAATCATTACAAAGTGATAATTAGTGAAATCAGCAATTCATAAATGTATAGGAGACAGAATTATTTATCTTCATCATTCTTGGCATTCTTAAACGTCTATTTGATTTGGTACAAAACACCTGAGTTTCATCGTTACACGATATTCGATCAGTGTGATTTATTGGATTAAATCCCCTATAACGAAATTCGACGCCATCACGTGCACAATTGTCACTGCGCCGCAGGAGTTGATTTCCCGCTCTCCGGGTCGCCGTTTCAACGTTCTCCATTACTCCACAATACTGTTTTCAAAATATTAGAATGCTCGATGAGCACGCAAAAAATTCTGCAACCCGGCCGCTTTCTATTTCCTATTTCCAAATCTCGCAACGCACGACGCATGAAACGTTTGAAACGTTTCACCCGATCAGCCGGGCGCATTAAACAACGCGACATATTAGTGTAACCGTTATGCAATTCCCGTTGTTCCGCGCCGTTCTACCTTCGATCGATTCGCAATCGAAATCTCGCAAAGGCGGTTCCCAATGGCGGATGCAGAATTGCATAAATCCGCCGAGGCTGGGTGTCGAAGTCTTTCTCTCTCTCTCTCTCCTCTCTCCTCCCGGCGCAATAATCCCACATCTCGCGATCGTATATTATTTGTAAAATCAATCATTGATATCCATTTCTCCGAAGTACATATCTACGTCGTCGGTGATTACAAGGAGATTTTCCCGGTGCAATTATCCTTGAGCAATCGTTTGGTTGCGACAATCGTCGTATCGTCGTTGGCGCACGATCGGATCAGCGCGAAATTGGTGCGAAAAGTCCAGGCGTATCTAAAGGACGAAAAATCGACGGAAAAGCGAATAGATGTGTTATTTACGAGACGGCCGCTCCTTACGGCAGTGGCTTGTTTATCCACTTTAGATGCAAGGACAAAGAGAAGTCGATCTAAATGCCACGGGCGAGACCGCAGTTCTCGTAGTTTTCTCTCCTCGATTGCTCGATACCGGCAAATCGCCGCGCTTAATTACAATATCGCGAAAAGAGATTTAAAAATCTCATTCACCGTTAATAAGCAACTAATAAGATAAATGCTCGGTATAATTATTCCCGCTCTTATTTTAACGCGGTTAAATAAATGTTATAATTTAAATTAAAAAATCACGAGAGTGAGAAATAATCAACGTGACATTAAACGCGCTTACGCCATATTTTCTGCAGTCTATCGTTTATCCGGGTTTATCTAATTGAATTAAAAATTGATGGATTATGGGCTTATTTATAAGAGCTATAATACGGTATTACGGTATCGGTTCGTATTTACAATCGATCTCGTGTACAAATAAACGGTAATAATCCATACGGTCGTCATGTTGCCGTCTCGCGACACGTTTCCACAAATTGTAAATATATTTCAAACGTAAATGCCCGGGGATCCTCCGTGTATTATTGAGCAACGGTGCTCTACGCGTGATTTCACACAAAATTGCGAAATGAATTAATCGGCATGCCGCACCGGTGCGCGCGACATCCAGTTGGCTCTACCGTCATTAAAACCTTCGTATTAATGAGCTCGGTTACGCCGTGACGAACGAGCGGGAATTCGGTCAGGGATTTTGCACTTGGGGTAACACTTGACGCTTCGCGACACATATTTATGTGCCATTTCCCTTGCTGGAAATAATGAGATCTGCTAAATATCTCGACGAGCAACGCGAGAGCTTACAGGGAATGCAATTTTATTAAAACTTACGAAAAATCCGTAATTACTTCCACCAGATAAAACAAGCAGGTAAGAGCATGTTGCGTAAAAAGTTTGGGCCGGCGAGGAAATGAATAATTTCTATATTACTTAAAGAAGAAAAAATTATGATCAACGAGCGGATGTGCAGTTACTCGATGAAAAATGTTTTCTTCAGCAACCCGCGCGTTCTTATAAGAACACATAATTCGATTAACTATGTTATATATCATCTCACGAATTTTTTTCATGTGATATTTGAATTTAATATAGAAACAATCTTTGCAGAGTTTTTATCATTTTATTCTGATACTAAATTAAACCGGTAAATTGCTAATAAAATATGCGCACGCCGCGTTAATAAAATTCGTTTAATTTACATATATGTATATAACGAAAATGGAGACATCTTTCTCGAAAATTTTCAACATGTTTCGAAAATAATAAACAATTTTTAATTTTAATAAACGTATTATTAAACGTGGATAGCACGTTTCTTCGCATTTTCTTTTTTACTAGTTGGATAATCGCTGAAATGCACATCGTCCAAATAAACGATACCCAACTTACAATACAAAACCTACTACGCAGCTATTGCCCTTTGCAATTGCGAAATGTTTGTTTTGCTAGCTGCAATTGCACGATAGAGTGCACACGTAGGACCTGCATTATCAAGATTGTCGTACGCGAACTGGCATTTGCATAACAACCAGAGAATGGGTAAGACGAAAAAGATTATTGTATTTAATTCAAGATATTTTACTTCCAGATAAAACAAAGAAAACATAAGTGAAAGAATTATTTCATATTTATCACCTAAAAGTACGTCAGTTAAAAGCATTTCTATAAGGACATTCAATGATTTATAATATTAATTTATTTAAATAAAATCTCTAATGTTTCGAAGTATGTTGACAATGCTGATAAATATGATTGTTTTAAGTTCCAAAGCTAAGTTTATTTCCAACAATGACTAATTTTGATGAAATATACAAGCGGCACTGGCAGCAGGGGGCGTTCCCTCGTAATTACTAATTACACTCTATTTAGTAGGATGCTGTGCAGCGTTACGAGATTAAGCGGTCGATGCTTCGAACGACGATCCAGTCCGTAGTCCGATCTATTGCGTGCCGCGAGAATAAGAGGGAACGCGGTGAATTGCCCTCCCAATCATCTCATTACACGAGTCTGCTTGCTCTCGACTGTTCCGACAGACAACTCTAAACTCCGGCTTTCGCCTATCTATTCCAATTCTTTCCTAACATCAGCCGCATCTACATCCGACACATCAGACTGCGAGCGAAAATAAACTGTTATAAGCGCGGGATATAGAGGATCGTATGCACTATTAATTTGCAAATAACGCAAATAGATACACGGCATAATACAGTGGCGCAATAAATAACAAACAGTGTAAGATAACGCAGGTAAAATTACAACGTTACCTCAGTTTTATGCGATGAAAAGCCACGAGTTTATATTAGATTACATTATGAAATAGTATAAGTTCTCATATTTTGCGCTTGTCGCCTGATCGATCTACCATTTCCGTCACGCAACCAAGCGTGGCCGAAGAAATGTCACATCAGTCCCCACGAGATCGAAAGTGACTTTTTTTTCTGTTAATATATGATGTAAGGAAAACCGATCTTTGTTTTAATAGCCTACTTTTTCGAGAGCCACTTGGCTGTTTCACCGTTTCTCGATTCGCTTTATACTCCTTTCCGCTCTCGAAGTCGCGCCGAAAATTTTGTCAACCTTTCTCTGTACGCAATATACCGATTTCGCGTTCTCCAACCGCCTGTCATGCTCCGTTGCTGACTCGCAATGGCACTTCTCTGGTCGCAATGTCAATGTCTCCGCAGGATATCCGCGTCGCTTCGCAAACTGAAGTACCAGCATTGATAGAGCCGCGCGCGCGGTCTCTCTCCTGCTTCGGGAACGAGGGCCCGCTGTACGACCGCCGCCCCTCTGGACGCGCCCTCCCCTCGAACCCCTCCACGCCGATCGTTGTCGTAGTCGTCGTGCTCGTCGGAGTTGTCGGAGGGTCGGAGTTCATTGTGCCACAAGTGCATTCCGAGTACCGGCGACGCCAATTGCTCGTTACGAGCCCAGTTGCGAATCGCTCTGTGAAAGCGACAGTGACATTTCCCGGAGCCGAGGGCTCGGCCCTCGCGAGAGATCGGTCTTCGAGATCAGAGGCAAAAAAAAAGCGCCGTAAGATCGTGCACAACTGCGTGCAACCGCGAGATGATACTCGCGTCCTCGCGAGATAAAGAGCAGCAACATGGTCCGCGCGTTTCGCTTATTTCGACACGGCGTCACTTTGCGTGAAGCAGAAGCTTCTCGTGGAATAAGAAGTTGATTTGAATTTTATCTCAAACGCGATATCGTGCGTGTTTTTTATTTAAATTGTGAGAAATGGTGAATCGAGATTAGCGATACAGGATTAAATCGCGTGGATTAAATCGAAGGCCAGAGTATATTGCGGTAAGTAAAGGGCAAATAGAATTATTTTCTCACACGTCACGCCTGAATTACTAAAATGCATATATAACGAATTTATATCCTATATGTACAATAAACTTTGTTAGAATTTTAATCACATAAATTTTGAAATAAATTGTTAGAGGAAAAATTTTACAGGAAAATTGTGTAACACGTAAACGATGGAAACGAATTGCTGTTGGTACTATTTACCGTTATTATATTTTATTATTGCTGCAACAGTAATTATAGAATCAGTTTTATCAGAGAAAAGAATAGCATGGAACTGAAGGATTCTCTTCACACGTAGATATTAGCCCGCGTGATAAATGTATTAAAATTGCACGCCCAACTTGCGATAATATGACGCATATCCTTTTCCTTTTTGCGGGACGATCGGACGATTGCAGTGACACGTCACTTCATTTTCTTCACTCCTTTCGTCGTAAACTATCGCAAGAAAGAAATTGTCTTTTTTCCCGCTTAATCGGCACGCAGTCGTACTGATTATAATTACATAATCGCTCGTAAAGGAACTCGGTGAAACGCATAATGTAAACAAGTAACATCGACGAGGCCAATTTGCATCTACATTTTCATTGCTGGTTTTACAATCGTATACATAAAGCTCGGTGCGTTCTCGGCCTTATAGGCGTTTCGATAATTGCAAATTGTGTAATCGCGACATTTGCCGTTCGAGTTTCTCGCATACCGCTTAGGGTGAATTTCAGATGGATATACAGCTGGACTTGTTGCATATCCGCGTATCGTATCATCGTTGCGTATCAATTCTGTGATTACAATACGGTCGTTGTACCGTATGATATCATTGCATTTGCATATATGAAAATTTTAATACACAACGCTCACTGATACCTACGCAACGATACACGGATACGTAATAGGATGTTCGAAGAGACTTTTGTGTAGACGAAAAAGTTGACGACCTCTGGAATTAATATTACGAAATAAATATCCTTGAAATTTATATCTTAATTGCACCGGTTTAAATTATTAATATATATGCCTTCCGTGAGAAATGCGACATAAATCTGTCACGAAACCTTATTTTGGCAATTTCGTTGTATAAATGCGCGAGTATCATAAAATACCAAGTTATAAAACGCCGAAAAAACCAAGTATTGTGACCAGTTAACCCTCAGAATCCATTTAAAGAAATTTTATTTCTCTTCCGCATTGCGATTATGCGCGAGCCATTTAAAATGAGATTATCTTTTACCAAAAATAAGTAAATAAATAGAAATAAATTCTAGAGAAATTCGTTCGAGCGCTACTCGATTCGTTTTCATTCGCATTCGCATTGTATATCCATATAGGTATCTTAACTTTCACGCATGTATTACGATGTTAGAAAACGTTATTTCGAAAAAATTTATTTCGAAATGGTAGAACTGACTCTGTCGTAATAGTTCTAAATTAGAAACATACATAATTCTCACGGCTAGAACAGCTGGTCGGCGCGTTTGTACGAACATCTCTACGACTTTTTGCCCGCCCCATGTGACGCTATAACGGTTAGAAAAACATTACGCTATGTGGCACATGTGAAATTTCGTGCGGCCTTCGTCGGCATTAGTATTAGTTAAACGAATTAACGTACCGTGGCAGGCTATTCTAATCAACCGTGAAACTCTTATTTCTTTCGCATCGTTTTCACAATCTATCATTTGATTAAAAAAATGGTGAGTAAAATAGCTCCTAAAATTACAAGTGAATAATAAATGACGCCATTATTTATACTGTCAGTTATAAATACGTCAAATTAATATAAACGATGGGGACATTCTACCATCGCGGCTTAATTAGTCAATCAGATATATAATCAATAATTAAATTATCTCGGAAATTATCACTCGGAAATTCGCTACTCAAAATAGATTCTTTCTCATGCGAATATCAAATATCGATCGCCGTCTAATATCTTATACTCCGTCGTGAAAATATTCTGCGTTATTCCCGCGACACTTTGACATTCGTACTTGACGCATATTCAATATTCAATGTCACACTTGCACCGTATCACGATTGGAGTTAGTTAATACTTCCTCTCAAAGAGAATATATCTTTTCGGAGGGGACGTTTATGTCACGCACGCATTTGCGACGAGTATTTCCGACCATACCCTGTACGAATGTCCGAGCAGTGGTCACGATAATACGGCCGGAGGCGCGTGACGGAATTTTTCTTATTCAAACTGTTATAATTTACAACACTCGAATTATTATATTACGACACGTGTGATTATTGGAATTCATTTATTACGTCTGAGTTCACTTGTTTGAAATCATCGACATTAAAATATGAGATACTTTCTATTCGATAACAGTTTTTTTCTTTCGACTGTCGGTTAGCCGACTTCCGGCTGGGTGATACACGAGAAGATGGAAGGTGCACTTTTACTTGGGCAACGCCGACAACCACCGAGGTTTCTTCGATGTGGGTTCTTCTGAAGAAATCGTGTTTGAAACCCAAAAAATACCTCTATCCTGTTCGCGGTAAGTATGTTGTACAAAATGCTCCTTAATGTTTACACTGTCTTTATAGAGAATCCAATCGAGGGGTACATCTTTTAGATCCTGCAATTTTACTGAAATGAGTCTCTCGGAGATTTCGTGGTTCTTCATCCTGATCACGGTGTTTGAAACAGTATTGATCGCCAACTCGTTGACCGGGGATCACGTGTGCTCAAGAATAGAAAAGTTAGTATCAAAATATAGATATACAATAATATAATGTGCAATTGTTAGATAAAGCTCATTTTATACTCTGTAATTTGTGTCAGAGCTAAGGATAGAATTCTACTTCTAATCTTATATATCGTGCAAAAGATATTTGAAGAGTCAGAATATACGCGCATATCTAAAAATATCAATCTAAAAATATATTTATAATAAAATACACATATAAAATTACAAATAAGATTCTTTCTTGAAATTTGAAAATGCAAATTGTAGATCATTGAAAACTGACTTAAGCGATAATTCAATTTTCAAGCAATATACAGTCGATATTTTTTAAGAGACCTTCACCTGCAAGCCTTGACAATGCAGCCGGCATGCGTAACAACACGTACATAAATCATTATTATGCTCACACCTCGCCGCATGCCGGTGTAAATCCGATAAGGGAGTCGCGGGACCAGTTGGTGGCTAATCAATCGTACATTACAGTTACACGGTTACGTCGTACGAGACCTACACCGAGCCGGTCGTGGTCAACTCGTTCACCTGGTGCCTACAAATTCCCCCGAGATGCCCCAAGACGTGGACCGAACTACGACAACGATATCGTGTGAAGGTAAGTCCCGCGGTCCAAGATATTATAAATATTAATCCTTTCATAGCTCGAAACCTCAGCCTCGCTATTTGATGATTTAGGAAGAGACATTAATTGATTATTAACATTTATTATTTTACATTTACATATGGACAATGGCGAATAATTGTTGCTTCATATATGATTTTTCATGAAAAAATTAAGTTCGAAAATATTAGCGTTTTAATTAATTCTTCGAAATTCCATGAATATTTACTTTCTCAATCTTTTTTTTCTTTCTCAATGAATTTGGTGGCATATCTCGAGTATATCAGAAGATTGGAGAAACAGTAATGAGAGAATTCAGTAATGACAGACACATTTGCATTGAAAGAATCAAATTTTTCCGACGCAGATACCTACGCAGGCAATTTTATTGTTTATTCATCATCAACGGATGATTCTAGCTCATAAGTTAGGGAAAAGAACCATTCTCTCAAACTTTTCAAAGGAATAGGAAAATATGTTAATCTTACACACCGGAAGACTTTGTCATAAGCAAGTAAGATTGGTTTCGCGGAAGGCTTCAGCATGTAACAGGCAAGAAAGTATCGTTCCATCAAAGGATTAGTGATTGTTTGTACGATCTATTTCATATAAAGTTATGAATAAAAATTTAAAACCTGAAACTTAAAACTCACTTAACTAGCGATATGGAGCTAGCGCAACGATGGCAAGATAAAATCCTTATGATCGAAACCTCAACGATCGAAACCAAAAAATGGAAAAGAGATATACATTCGCGAGACAATAGATCCATAATTTATTCTAACGTCAGCGAAATTGCGTCGCGGAAGAAGTTACGTAAACCCCCATTTCCATGGCACGCCTCGTTATGGAAAAATGTCGTTTCCCAAGCACAGCGTGAATGGAAAACGATCGACGAAATACTTCTCGCGTGGCAGGTTACCTGTGCGGCAAAACGTTCCACATACATGACGCTATAAAAGAACCTGTCTATTCTTCCGCTTTTACCTCTTACTCTCCGTCCTTCTTTCGCGCCACGCCACATCCTCGCTCTCCCCGTCGCTTTTCTCTTTCTCTCGCCCCTGCCGCCGATACGAGATAATTACAGGGAAAGTCTGTATTAACACAGCAGCCGCCTCTCTGATTAAGTAAAATAAATAAAAAAAGAAAATCCGGAGTACACGGAGCACGTACACGTACGCGTTTGAGCGTCGGGGCGAGAGAGGAGGGAACCAGGGACGGTTGTGGCAGCCGCAATTACGACCCGTGAAATGCGGAATTGACGAATCGCGCCGAAAGAAGAAGAAGAAGGAGGAACCTGTCCCGTCTCGGCATTACGAAACAATCCAGAAGCGGGCTATTATAGCTGAAAAGGACTTCGCACAACTTTGCAACAAATCTTTGCAACGGTACCCTCGAAGAAGGGAAATGCCGGAAGTCGACAATTTGCGAAACTCTTAACTCGGCGCATCGCCCGGGTAGATGATAAAGACAATTTCTCTGCGGCGGGTGCGCAGGAGGAAACGGATATCGCGGCCTTTGTGCGGTAATAGATATCATTCCGAAGAAGTACACGTGTTTAATCGCGTATAGTAACGCGGACAAACGGGGTATATTGCGTGAAATTACGCGATCGATTGCGTCTAAATATGCAATCGCAACGCAACGCAAGTAAGGTATTCAATCGGGTATTCAGGCATGTACGTAATTTAACGAGAGCTCTCGGGCGCCGATATCGCTTCAATTAAGGCACGAATTACCGAGGCGCGAACGTAATAAAGTTCGATGTGAAATCTCGATGGCGATTTACGAGCGCCGGAGCACTTGATAACTCAGCCGATACGAAAATGAATCGTTTAATGACGATGAGACGTGACATGCATAGCGTATGTAAACAAGGTCTCAGTGAACGACGTAACTGATGTGTAAAAAACACCACGTGTCATCGACCAGGCGAACCTCGTGTCATCCTCGAGCGTCGTCACCCGAGTAACATCAATTCCGAGAGATAAAATCGTACGAGAATACAATCTCACAGTGAGATTAAATTTTCAATATTCGAACAGTCACATTTTGTGTTAATCGTTCTGTCCATTCTTATAGAAAAAAAAAGAGAAAATAAGAAAAATGTATAATATATTGTAATTTTTGTCTATCTGCGTCAAGATATGAGAGAAACAAAAAAATGTCAAAGGCCGAAATCTCCAGAAAAAGATTGCAAAAATGCAGAATGATGAATGCGAAATATTTCAACATAAACTAAATATAGATACGCATAAATCTAGAGACAAAAATTTTCATATAATATTGCCATGAGTTATCGAGGGTTATTTAAATACGCAAAGACTTCTTATATCGGATTCAAGAAAGGATTACAATTAAAAACCTCAATTATTATTTATTTAATTATGATATAATTAGTTTAATTCGCGGTGTCAAAATCCGCGAATCACGGGAGAAACTCGCGCTTTCTCATCGGATGTCACGACAAGCCCGACAAATCGCTCGTCTGCCAATTAGATTAACAAGGCAGCTCGGAATCTCGGCCCGGCTTTGAAAATTCGTGCGTGTTCGCCGCGCACTCGCGGATCGCGAGGAATCGGCCGGAAGTGAAATGATCTCGCTCGCGCGCTAGCGCGCGTTTCGTAATCGGCATGCCGCACCGGCCGCGCCGCGGCGTGCGTTATATCAAAGTCGAAAGGAAACGATCAGCCTAAAATGGAAATTTTAACGTGTGAGGCGTATATCCGCGCCTGGGACGAGAACGCCCGCAATGTAATAACACACGCCAAGTATGGTGCAGGGGCATACGTTTACGTATACACGTATACGTATGGACGTGAGGCATTTTGCCCGCGGTTTACTGTGTGGACAATGAACTTACTTGATGCAGCCTATACGAGAAAAAAAAGATATCTCGCCATTATCGATAGTGCGTCACGTACGCTGCTATAACTATTGTATACTGTTTTAAAAGCCCTTTTTTTCCTTCTCGGTAAAGAAGATATTTATCTAGGCTCTGTACAAATTGTGTCTTTCAGCGAAGAGCGATCTTATAAATCTTTGCATGTAAATAATTATCACTTGTAAATTATTTAATGTGCAATTAGTAGATCTAACTTTTTTTTTCAAAAAACTGGAATGACAGTTTGCGAATTTAAAAATAAAATTAACGTTAATTATACAATGCAATATAATTAGTGTAGTGCTTCAAGAGATTAAATTATTAATCGAGAGATTACCTCACGTAAAGAAGAATTATGTTCTTTTTACATTGCAGTAGAATTTTTTTATTACATTGCACTAGCTTTCCTATGTAATATAATTAAAAATAAAGTGGAAAATATGAGATTTTTTTATAAAGCCGCATATTAGAACTAAAGGCAAATAACCGAAGCGTATTCTCATTTCCCCCTCAAAGGATACCCTGATAACTTATCCGCGTAATAGGCACCTAATCAATAAGTTACAGTTTCTATAATTCTCAACAACGATTCGCGTTAATCAATCGAGATCTAACGCTAATAGAAACTGCTGCTTGTTATATCCACTATTGACCTACTTAGAGCTTTTCGAGGTAATCTCGAGGTAAATCGTATTATCGCGATTTGTATATACAACGGTGGTGTACGCGGCGGAGTTATACGATGCAAAAACAATTATAGCTTTCATCGATGCTTCACCAATCCGCGCGGCGTATATCGAAGCCGCAAATCTACTCGTCGGATCCATGCCTTATGAATTCGCCTCGCCGCGCGATCGAAGGTTTCGGCTTGTTAGCATACCACGAAACATCGTCGTCGCGCGTATACGCGCGCCGACTACGTAAGGAGCTGTGCAATTGATAATGCAACGCTCGTGTAAGAGCGAGCCAACGGCGGCGGCGTGAATTCCAACGTAGGTGCCGTTATGCGAAGGTAATCATTTGCTTCTCTAATTACCAGATGTGTTTCTGGAGAGGCTGACGAACGTATGAATCATCTAACGTAAAACTGTAACGCTATTTAAAACGTCGGTATAAGCGCGACGAATCGAATGCATTATTTTCTTTCCAATCCCCGTCATTAAGAAGGAGCCGTCTCGCTCGAGGAGATTGAAGTGTTACTAGTCGGGAATGAAGCTGGAATGACGCTAAAACGTAATATGCCGGTAATTACCGATCGCGGAGAATTATGGACGAATAAAGGCCGCGGTATGTGAGAAGTGAAGTCATTAACTTCTCAGAGAAAACGTATTATAAACATATAAGTAACGCAGCGCGATAAGGGATCGTTCATATGCGATTTCGAATTAAAAAGTCGCTGTTACATTCAATAAGATACACTGATATACGTATGACGTAGTTGGCATTTATAATAGCAATAATGTCACTTGACGGCCGAATTGAAAAAAAAGAGGAACGTTGAACAAAAAATGCGAGCAGGATAATATTGTATAATGAGGGAAAATTACCGTTGGACAAGTCGAGGTCACTTGGCGTTTTCTACTATGTTAGAAAACGTCTGAATTGCACAACTTTTGAGTAATAACGCATAAGCATTAGATGAGAACGAGAGAGAGAGAGAGAGAGAGAGAGAGAGAGAGAGAGAGAGAAAGAAACTTTTACGTGCTAGGCATAGATATAAATCAGGATACATTATATTATTAAGTTAAACTTTTAGAGATATTTTAAAATGTTAATCTAGGACGCTTAAAACATATATACTTACAAAACGGATCATAAAACAATTTTAAATTATTAATGTTGTCTGTATCTATACTTAATAAAATTATATCATGTGCGACATCTCCATATATATATAATTACAGACGCTGTTTAATATAATTATAATGCAATTAATTGAATATGTTTCCAATGCTATGGGATTACTTTGAAATTATTATGCAATTGCATAATATACATTGCCGGATAACGTTTTGTTGTAATTATAAATCTGCTTGTTCTATAAAAAAACAACAGACTCATTCAGATGCTATCGAGATGACACTATCGGGCATCGCGAGATTTCTGAAATCGATAATGTCGATCAAAACACACGTATACAAATAGTATGGTCCACTATGCGGTTATATGATTGAGCGCAATATTGTAATCAATAACATTATCTCTCCTCTTTGTGAAAGAGAGTCTTATTACGCAAGCGAAAGGTTTGCACCGCGAATTAATCATGTCAGTTACGGCGTTTAGTGAGGAACAAAAAAACTTTGACGTCAGTTTCCAGTGCATCTGGTAGCTCTCGCCGCGCCGTAAAGATCTACTACAATTCGAAATGATTTATGACGATACACGGAACATGTTCATCAATTAACTTAATGGGTTTACAGCTAAGGTTTTACGTATATAGAAATTACCGGTCCGTTCAACGTTAAATATTAAATTATGGGTATATAAATAAAAACGCTCCGCCCGAGTTCAATATTGTATTGATTTAACAAGAAACGTCAGTTTAAACGTCAGTTTTCAAATTAATTCTTTAACTATTATTACGATTTTAATTGGGATTCTGCTAAAATAATTAAAAAATTATGTTTTATTATTTGTTTTATTATTTTCGAGAATTAATTTATTTATCAAGTAAAATAATTAAAAATTATATTTAATTATTTGTTTTCGAGAATTAATTAATTTATCAGGTTTACAATTTTTGCTTACTTACAGATTGATTACATAATTTCAATATATTTTCTATGTATTTTACATAAAGGGTCATTTTCAATGTTCAGAAAATCATGAGAAATAAATTTAAAAAACCGACAATAATTTTATATATTAATATATACAATTTATTGTATTAATACATACACATATATTTTACATTATGTATGTGTAATATATCAATATGTTAAAACCTGCATGAGTGCTGCAGTGAAAGCAAAAGAGAGCGTTCAAATTTCGGGACGTGTACATCAATCAGTTTGCATATAATTTGATTTATGTATCAGATACCTTGTTCGTAATGGTATACATTGCCGGTACAAATTATAAAGTTGTTATCTTCTTGACGTCGTATCGAACGTCCAGTTGAAAAATTAGCGGTGCGGAATTTGCATAATAATGCGCTGGCGCATAAAGGTGCGCTATCCGTTTTGTAAACCAGACATTTATCCGTAATCGAGTAAAATGTAAAATCGAGGAGAGAATATCGGATGAACGCGATTGTATGGCACATCGATCCGCCGCACCGTTTAAGACGAAATTCGCGTAACGCGGTAAGCAGTAAACCGCGCGGCGAAATGTAATAACGTTCGCATAAAGAAGAAAAGGCTATTTTATTGCAGCAGCAGTTTTCACGCGCGTATCCTCTTACAACGGATTACATCAGAGAGAATTTATTATATCGCTCGAGTCTTTGATACTCAATCTTCAGTGTTTTCATCGTCTCTCCAAAAAATCATATAACAAATCTTTGGAAAATAATAATCAATCGTTATTGGAGAGTTTTGTCGAAATAAAAATCAAATTTATAAAAATATTAACAGCGAGACGTATTACGTAGAATCTCAAGGAATATGTGGCAGGAAGTAAAAAAGAAACAAATAAATTTATTTCTCACAAGACATAATTCAAATTAAATCGGCCGTTATTTTCTCAATACGTTCGCAATACATTTCGTTTCTGTTTGCCATCGTATCTCAGGTATTTTTATGTGCCGTTTGGCCGTTTCGGTATGTTTGACCGATCAATTCAATGCTGCGAGGTGGGACTCGTTACGCGTGTGTTCCTCATCTTGTTTTTCCCTGTGATCCCCCTTCATTTACCATCGCGTGCCTTCTCTGCATTCCGCACCAAACCGTTCTCACTTTTACTCTCGCCAATGATCGAAATCTCGTGCTTTAAAGAGTGACGTAACGATCGTCTTATCTCTGGAATTCTTCGTCGTGGCTGGAGTCATCGGTGAAATCGTTCTCAAAACGAAAAAAAAAAAACAATATGTCGTCATCCTCTCTTTCTCTCTAACATCATTTGATTAGTCTTATGCTAATAATATAGGTGTCAGACAGTCAAATCATCTAATTATTATATCAACGTGACGAGACGAGAATAGGTATCATAAAGAATTTATTAGCGGTTGTCGAAATCGTGAACGTTCCTCTGACGCGATTGAAATTAAAAGTGCTCTTTTGACACGACAAACATCTTAATTTTACAGATCAATTACATAAACGAATAATATGTGTATTTCAAAATATGTAGAAGGAGGAAAAATCGAGGACTCTAGAGGAATGCTGCGAGGGGTACAAAAAGACGGCTCTCGGCGATGCGGAAACGGATGCGAGCTGCTTACCGTTTTGCGAAAAATGTGTGGCAGGTGCGTGCGTCGCACCGAACAGATGCCAGTGCGACCCTGGATATTACGGAGATGACTGCGCCCGTGGTGAGTCCGGGAGTAAAATCAGCAATCATTGAGCAATGTTTCTCCGTTTCTCTTCACCAAACATCCAACTCAAGATTTGCTAATGTATTTCTAATAGATACTTATCATCAGCCGTTGAAACCTGTATTTTTTACATTTTTACGTAATTGAAATGTATCCTATAAGATTGCAATGTTTGTGAACTTAATAAGATACATCACCTTTCAGCACGGTTGAGTAACGCGTTTCAGAAAAATTACATTAGAAATAAGAAACTGAAATATTTTTCATTATATTTGTAAGTCTCATCGATAGCTGTTTTATATGCCTGGTATAACACAATTCCAAGTTATTGTCTTCATTTTAATCAAGTTAAAAATCAACACACTGTCCATTCCAATATAATATAGAAACTATGTGTTGAATTTTCATCGCGTGACATTTGGCGTTTACTTTAAGGCGATGTTCTATCCGTAATATCGCTGTCGATACCAAACACCAGAATGACCCCGAAGAGATATTATCTTAAAAGAAACAACGAAAGTGTTTTAGAAGGTCATTGAAATGAATTCCTTGATTGGCAACATCTTCTATTTATCAAACCGGACTGAATAATGTTTTCAGTGCTAATTAGGTGCCGATAAATCGCTATGACATTTCGAAAAACTATATTTAAACCGAGGCAATAAACCAGTGCTGAATATAAACATGCGAAGTCGGTGGATATATACAACTTCGGAAAGCTCCGAAGGTCTGTATATAATTAATAGGTCCGTATAATTCTCTAGTGTTTAATTTCGCAACGATTCGCGTTCGAAAATAGATTCTGGAATTAAGAAAATAAGCGATGCGTCGCGCGCGCGCGCGGCGCGATTGTGAAACGAGATTGAGAGCGAACAGATCCGAAACGGGTAGCGGCAAAACGCAATGAGAAATTTCACGCTCCATGAAACGTACCGACCTTCCACGATCGCGCGAGAACGCGCGTGTGAAATGACTGTTTCCAGTAGATAGTACTTCTATACCCGAGAGTCATAATAATGAGTCGCAGTTTCTCGTGTTCGTACAACGCATCTCGTTAAACATGTTAGCCCACACGTGCCGCTACGAAGTGGCACAATCACGGTTGTTGTAAAACAACGACATAATAAAAGCTATTAAAAATTTCATTGGGTCTTTTACCGTAAAACACAAAAGGAGAAAAAGATAAAAAAGATTTGCTTCTTCACTATCGGTAGTTTTATAATTATAATTTTTCTCACTCTTTAATATTCGAACTAACATTAATGAAGCCTAGCTGTTTGCAGTATCTGAAGAAAATTTTCTCGAAATTTTATTTTCTCGTCTTTTTTTGCAGCCCTTCGTGGAAAAATCGCGCTTATAACAAAAAGCCGATGATAAATCGCGGATTCTAGATTGGCTTATCGTTGTCAAACAAACCGAAGTCGCGGATTGCACGCAACTGTTGCGTCAATACGATCGGGGAACGCTTCGAAAGTTGCGGAAGCCCGGAAGTTACGAAGCCGCTACTTTCCCGTTGAGCGTTCGAGAAGGTCGTGGGCGGCGTGCAGCCGATCAGATACATCCGCGTACAACGTACGACGTTCGCATAACGCAATCGCGAACGTCAATGCTTTATAAGAGACATTCGCGATGTATGACAAACGTTCGCCTTAAACATTTCGCAGATACGATCTACAATCCGATTTGTGCAGACTTATTAATTTCGCTTGCCTGTATTTACGAAACGCTTAATAGCCCGCATTTACATGGAAATTGCATCATTTTTTCATCTTGGCTGTCAACTATCCGTAAAATACGTTGATATTGTATAGATTAAAATAGAAACTTCTTTTGGCAGTTTGCATAATGGTTGCATATAGACGTGTAGAGTTAACGAGGTATCAAGTATCGTTTTCTTAACATATATACAGGACTATACTGCTATACAAACTAAAGGAACATGTTTCTGATGTAAATTGAAGTAGAAAATATCTTATATGGGTCCAATACAAAATGATTATCCATCTACAAATGTTTAAAGTTTATAAATTATAGCATAATTTTTTGGAATATTTGTTTATTAAAAATAAAAAAAGGAAAGAAAACATAAAAATCACATAAACTGTTCAAATTGAGACGTCCTTCAAGAGATAAAAATCTAAAAGAGTGAAATCTGATCCGTAGCCAAACAGGATGAATAACAGTTTGCAGATGAATAACCATTTCGAATTGGACAAATTTTCATAACACATTTTCTACTTCAATCTACATCAGAAACGTACATGATACATGTACACATATGTATATATTAAATTAATTATTAATAGTAATGACATAATGATTAATAATAATGACATATATATACATTTATGTATGTATTAAATGATTAAATATATTAAATAATTAACGTTTTTTATTTATGTATTAATTTCATTTCGCAGCGTGTCCGTCGGGATTCTGGGGTTCGCAATGTATGCAAGTATGCAACTGCGGTGAGAGCGGTGCCTGCGATCCTGCGAACGGCACTTGTCAATGCTCTCCAGGACTCCAAGGATCTCGGTGAGTGTTTAAAAGTATCAATGGCCGATGTTTATTGAGCAATAAAGAGTACAGCTCGAGGCAACAAGCCCAAGTGATACTGTAAAAAATTATGCTCTTTCTTTGCGCAGATGCGAGGAGCGTTGCGCGATCGGGCAATGGGGCCCGGGTTGTGCAAACGAATGCACATGTCAAAACCGAAATAATGTCTGTGATGCCGTAACCGGAAGCTGCACCGACGACGACGCCTCTTCAGTCGAGCAAACGTCGCCCGTTTATTTGCGGAGCTCTACTGCCGACCGTCTACCGCAAACACCGGGAATTAGTAATACGGAGCACACGGAGGTTGTCTCGGTGCCGCGTGGAACCACCGAGCGCCAAACGGAAGGTAAAATAATACGCTTAATCGAAGGAATCATTTATGCCTCAGGGTTGCGCAACTGTTTGCCCGTCGATGATGTAGAAATGGATCTTCACGCTTTCAAACGGGCGAACTCAAGGAAAAAATTATCGATTAAAATTAGCGTTAGAAAGCATGTTTCTACTTGTGTTCTACTTTCACGTCGTGAAGAGAGCAAATATAATCCGACACGTTCGCCGTCATGTGTGACGTTAATGATATGCGATAACTGTTAATTGTTTCTCGCGCCAGTGACAGATTATCTTAATCTGACGTAATTAAATAATTAATAATTAACTAATAATGTACGCAAAATTGAAACTTGTGGTATTGCTCGCAGTATTATATACTTGTAATATTTAGTTACAATTTGCAGGTATCAATGACAGTTGGCACGACATGAATTACATTCCGGAAACGACGAGTCCGGCAACAGCTTCGATCGCGGCCCCTCCTCAAGGAACAGAGGACTCGGTAAAGGAAACGCAAATGAAAGATCCTTCCACCACTGCTCGGCCCGTGATCGTTTTGGTCTCCGTTCCTGAACGCAGAAGGGACGTCGAGAAGGATAGGCAAAAGTTCGCGACAAAGGACGCTCTTCTCAGACACGTCCAAAGCGGCAAAAGCACGAATGTCGATTACGTGAAGACCGTTCACAAAGGTACGGTCTCGTGACACTTCGGAAATACGTACGAAGATATTCCTACAACGCTCGATCTCTAACAAAATGTCTCTATATTGTCACCGCGACAGACGACATTCAAACATCAACGCCGATTCCGCTGGACATCGCTCTGATCGTCGTTGCCGCAATCGTCTCCCTCGGCCTGACCTCGCTCGCGGTTGTTATGGTGCTTCATATGCGCTCCAAGCTATTCGAGACCATCCGTCTTGCCGTCTACGACGACGAGAAGACCAAAGGCCAGGAACGCGAGAGCGTGAACGGCGGAAGGACGTCCGCGGTAGTGAACTCTGCCACTCTGCCCCGTGAGTATCGAGACACCGTGAGTTATACGTTCACTTGACAGCAGGAACATTCTCTCCTGGACTGTCAGTGAAATTCGCGTGTCCTTGACCCGGATGAGTCTGGCCGTTTTGAGGATAGTCCTGACCATCATAGCCAGTGAGAAAGCTATAGATCGTCGAAAACTGTATGCGCCGCGATATTGAGCCCTTTGTGCTCAATAATCGATAATCAGCTCGCGCTGCAATCCAGCATTTGTGTATTATGTTCGTCGATACTGTTATGATTTCAGCACCAGCACCCCCGATCCGCGCGAGTCCGGTATTTGCCATTAATACAGAACCGGAAACGATACTGACGCTCGACGGCATTGAATCGCTGAATACTTACGCTAACGGTGCCGCTACGATCGGCCTGCGAATTTCTGGTAACTTACGCGGTAAGTTTACGCTTCACTTTTTACTAAATTTGTGTAAATGCGAGGCACGGTAATCGTAATAAAAAAAATTAGACTCCACAAGTTGATAAAAAGTCTACAAATAGCAGCACAGTAAAGACCAAAGACAATCTGTATAACACAAACGATTTTATTTCAAGTTTACTTCAAAAGGTTACAATTGTTACTTTGAATAAGCCGTATATTCTTTCTCGAAGATATTATTTCTAAGATTCTCAACCGATTCTTTTATTGCGAATCGCAGATCTGTTACAAGACGGCCATTACGACCGGCCATCGGCAACTCTGATACGTCTGCAGACAAACTTGGACCATAACACGGAGCATCTGTACGACGAAATACCGTTTCAGACTACTCCATTATCGGATCGCAAGGATCTATGATGGAGAAACGTTTCCACTTACTACCACTCACGGTCCAGCCTATCCGTATCTTTAGCTATATAGTTTAATAATGCGTCATCTCGTCGTGAAAAGACCTTGAAGCGTTTTTAGACGAAACGTGACCTGTCGTGGTGAAAAGTCAATTGCTCGAGACCGATGAAAAATGTGTGAAAACTGGTTTCCGACCTTACGCAGTGCCGTTGAATGCGCAAGGCTGAACGTGACTGTAATTGAGTGGCACAGGCGCAGAAACAAGTCGTTGGAGCACCGTGCTGTCAGTGACCGACGGTAGAATTTAATCAGCGAGGCGTGTGCAGCTCCTTCTGAACAAACTATTTCGTAGTTGTCGGGATGACGTCAAAACGGGGGCGAATGCACCCGATTATACGATTGCGCGCGAATGCGCAATTAGGTGGAAAACTCGGAACAATGGAATCTCGTGTAACGAGCGGGGGGAAAAATACAGCGCACCGACTGTCATTATCCAAATCATATGAAACGTTTGTGTATTATAGCCTGCGGGGGCGGAGGCTACCTGGTTTGCGAATAAACAGATGCGAAAATAAATTGCCCGCTGCATAAATCTGGCAGTCTCGTTCAATGCTGACGTAATTTACTCGGTATAAATTACCGTTGCGCAAATAAATCTATCGTATATTTATTGAAGTTAACGTTACGAGAGAGCGATCTTTTCACATTTGCTTATCGTCCCGTCGCTGATAGAACGGCGACCGCGATATTGATATTATTATTACGATTTCTTTAATAATCAGTCTCGTAATCGCATCCTGCGAAGAAATAGTAATGTTTTTCTAGGCGTGAAAAGCATATCCTGCGATAATACACCGAGTTTCCGAGTACATCAGTAATGATGTGCACGTAAGCGATAATATAACCGATGATACCAAATTCGTTATCGCGAGAGGAAGAGCACTTGATGACTTTTGTGCCTCTGAAACTGAAACCAAAGATAAAAAAATCCTATTTAAGGCAAATGCAATACATGCATCCTAAAGAAAAAAAAATAACTATCCATAGTAAATTAAATAAAATAAATTGTGTAAGTATAATTGCGTAAGGCTTTATTCGCTAGTTTATTATTACTTTTTAAGAAGTCACATGTAACTTTATATACAGCGATATTTTTATAAACTGGGGGATATTATTATTATTAAAAAATAATAATAATATTATTAGCTTCGATATTTTTCTCCAATGTTTTCCATAAAAGAGGAGAGAAACTTTCCGTTTCTATGTTACGCGATAATTTGATGTATCTCTTCGTTTTGCACTGATTTTTTATTTTACACTCGTTTCAAGGAAATGTTATTTGCAGTCAGCATTAGCTTATCGTAATTAAATAAACAAATACCATACAGTTATCGCATTTAACATATTCTTGCGCACCCCTCTTATTATCATCCCGATTCGCGTCACATATCATTCCCGTATATGATATCAGTCGGATTACGTAAACAATGTCGAATGCGCGAGAGGCAAGAGTTATAATAAACTGCGCACACAAGAGACAAATTGTGCATAAAGTTTAATGCAAAACTTTATACATCAAAGCAAAACATTGCAATTCCACCATTATTATGGAAATTCAAAAAGCATTTTTCTCTTAATTAAAACAAACATCCGTGATAAAGCCAATTATCTTTTTTTTCCAGATAACCTCGTTCAGATAAAGCAAGTGAATGAATATATTTCTTAATTGGCTTTCATACATATTATTTTTTTTCATATCCTACATTTTATATCATTTTCAACGTGCTCAAGTATCATTTTAAAAGGATTTTAATTTTTCTACTTTTACCTAAAATCTAAAAAAATCTCGTAAAAGCTTGCAAATTTTTATGATTCACATCGCACGAAGAGCCTTTTTATAGCATAGTTGAGCTGAAATTATTAATTGCGATACGTTATCTTGTCCCTTCGCTTTGTGCGCACACGATCAATAATTTATTCACCCGATTGAAGCTGTGCCTAATGAGTCAATTATGGCCCAGTTAATAGCGATGACCTAATCAATAATTAGATAAGAATAAAAGTGTGGAAGAGAAACGGGCGCACGAACGCTCTGGCCCCATTTGGTCTCTCTGACATGTCGATACGCATAACCGATAACCGTTTCCGTGAACAAGAGTGTTGCGTAGTTTAATGACAAGTTTAATGAGAAGATGAGAAAACCGCTGACCCCTGGGACATCCTTATCGCGGCCAGATGCCCGCTCTCTAACCGAAAATAAGCATCCAGTAGTAAATTCGCGACCGTACATGCAACATGCAGAGATTGCCAATTTGTCTGATTGTTTTTACGTGCCTTGGTGTCGGCGGCACCTGGGCAATTGACGGTGTGAAAGGTGGACATCGGCCGCGTTACCCTAACGCGAATTATGGCACCAACTCCTCGCAAAATGGCCTTTGCTACAAAAGGGTGCCGTAAGTAATTAATTTTTTTTTTTTAGTTCGAGACGAACGCTGGACTAATCGTGGCAATAATCCGATCCAACATTATTTTTTGCTCGCGCATTTTTCTTCATATTTCAACACCCATTGGAAGAAATGACGTAAAAATAATAACTAATATCCGCGACTTTCAGATACAGCCATGCTTTAGCTTCAAACTCCAGCGGAACGCCTTACAATACCATTCCTCAGCCGCCCGGAGGTCACTATCCTGTAAGTAATCGTTTCTCCGAATCGAAGATAGCCTATAGCTTGTGAAACAATTGATTTTTTGATCAATAAACTTTGATAAATCTCAGGAGATAAAGTTTCAGAACGCGACATCTTTTCACGCACTAATTAGGAATTAGAAAAAAAAACCCGATGTAAGCCATTTAAATAATTTCGACGGCGATTATAAGACAAATTGTCTGTTTAGCCTAATGACGGTTTTATCACTATCTTGGACTGTTGCGACGGCTACGAGCGCAACGTGACGAGCAGCCTGTGCGAGCCGCGATGCGAACGCGGCTGTTTCGGCGGCCGTTGCACGGCCCCGAATGTCTGCAGCTGTCCGCCGGGGTGGAGTCCCGACAACGGCGTCTGCATGCCCGTCTGTTCGTATCGGTGCCAGGAGAACGCCTATTGCTTCTCCCCCGAAGTGTGCATGTGCAAATTGGGCTACGACGAGGTCGACGGCCAGTGCAGACCGATCTGTCCCGACGGATGCAGGCACGGCCAATGCGTGGCGCCGCGCGTCTGCAGCTGCAGGCCGGGATTCGTTCTGAATGAACGCAAGGAGTGCGTGGCCGCGTGCGAGGGCGGCTGCGCGCACGGTGCGTGCAGCGGGCCGGGCGTGTGCACCTGCAACGAAGGGTAATTAACCACCGTTATATCCCACTTTCGCAGTCCTCTCCGATCTCCGCCGACTGCGCAATCCCTCGCATCGGCGATATTACGCGCGATATAATTAAACCCTGATTTACTCACGTAGTAGTACTCACTCACGCGGTACGTTCGCAACCGGTTCCCGCTAAGCGGATTGCCTACGGTATGAATAATTGATAAATCAATGTTGGATTCGTCAAAAATGATATTACACGCCGTGCGTGTACCTGCTATCGTACAGGCATGTAAATCAGCCGTTTTGTAATTTCCATACGGCCATCTGCGTAGATAATTTGTTATTTACGCTGCCGCTTGAAGTGCAGTCACGCGTTATAAACATAATAAATTTGCAAACATTTACTAGCTTTGCAGAACGAGTGTCAGGTTGATTTTATGTATCGGACGTTTCACAGGTGCTCTCTTTCAATGAAATTCTTTAACACGTTCGAACTTTTTATTCTAAATCCCTGACAAAGTTCTAAGAATCGTGTTATACCTTCTTTGATATCAAATCATATCAAAGTGTATACAAATGTAAATTGTAACGTAATTGTAACCATCAATTGTTTTACAGATACATCAACCCTCCCGGCGATCGCGAGGCCTGCGTCCCCCATTGTCCGACCGGTTGTCACGACGGCGAGTGCGTCGCGCCGAACGTTTGCCGATGCAGGATCGGTTACACGCAGAATCGTACCGGCTATTGCACGCCAAACTGCCCGGACGGTTGCGACGGAGGCGAGTGCGTAGCGCCCGGTGTTTGCAGCTGCAGGCCCGGGTATACGCGGGACCGTTACAGCGGCAGATGCGTCCCGGGTACCGCGGGTTCATCGCAATGCGGATACGGATACACCGTCGATCCCGACACCGGTAGATGCATCCCCGCGACGACGTCGCAGCCCGTCGGCGATTGCAGATACGGCTGCGGTCCGCATGGCCGGTGTATCGGATACAATCGGTGCACCTGCGAGCCGGGATTCACCGCTGATCCTGATACCGGCAGATGTATCACCATCGCGACGTCCACGATCAACTCGACCTCCTCGCAATGCAGATTCGGCTGCGGCCCGGGCGGCATATGCGTCGGCCCGAACATATGTGCCTGCAATCTGGCATCCCGCCTCGATCCCGATACCGGAAGATGCATTCCGCCCTACCTATCAGGCACGGGCGAGATGTGCCAGCATCCGTGCTTGAACGGTCAGTGTACCGGGCCGGATCAGTGCACCTGCAACCCCGGATACGCGCACGACGTTCGCGACGCCACGCGTTCCCGATGCGTGCCGGTGTGCGCGAACGGGTGTCCGAACGGCGTATGCACCGCGCCGAACCTTTGCCTGTGCAATCCCGGATACCGGAAGGAAGGTGTCAAAGGACGGCAGAGATGCGTTCCGGCGGAATGAACGAGTTGACGACGCGAAACATATTGTTAGATATTAGTTTAATGAAGCAAATCATTTCAGGCATAATGATCAACTGAACTTGTATACATAAACTGATAACATAGATTATAAAACAATAACTTTGTCTTTTATTTCACGCGATATAAATAACACATGACGACTTTTAACAAATATACGTAAAGCATTACTGTAAAGATAAAAATATCCTCGCGCATTTAACAGTTTTGAAACTGCAATAACTGTTTTGATGACTAATCCTATATAAATATTCTTGAATAACTAACTTGTAGACTAATCAACAGATATAATTTTCTCAGAGCGAGCGAAGTATTAAATATGTAAGACTCCGATAGCAAGTGAATACGTTAATTATGTAGTAAATCATAAAGTTAATTATAAAGGCGAGCATAAAAATAAAATAGCGCCCTATAAATCTTACAGTCTCATTCACTACGTAGAAAGATATGTAAAAATGACATTAAAATAACTTCAAACGCAATCGCGTGCGGTTTATTTTATACACCAACTGATGCTGTTGCATGGTAAATGGGTTAATGCGCAGACTGCATCCTTGGCCCAGTACGTCAACTTAACGTAAGTTTCGCTAAAAAAAACGTACCGTTCCGTTTATGCACTGTTAAACATGCGGAATCGATTCGTTTACGCCATAAAACAATTATGCAGTTTCTCTCCAGAGCTCGACGCAATGCACATTTCTTAAAAACGATTCACAAACTATGAATATTCCGCAACTGCTAGTGCTGTGTGCGTGTGTATGACTAATTTAATAAATCTATATTATTTCCAGAAAAGATACGAGATACTTTGTACCTAGCATGATTCACAACGTATGAACTGGTAACTGGTTTTACCCAGAATTTTCATCAATTTATCTTAAATATATTTCTAATTTTTTCCCCCTAAGCAATCTTTTTTGTATGCACAAATAAATTAACAACTGCGACGCGAGACGTTGTAAAAGTTTTCAGTTGTAATTTCTATATATGAAGTAGAGTTACTGAAATTAAAGAAACTTATTTTGCTGATAAGCAGAATTTTCACATGGATTTAATTGTCACTGCTTGACAACAGCCTGACATCCTGCCGGATTCTGATAGCGCGTTATATTGTAGCAAAGAGGAAAAGAAGCCTCAGTGTACGCTGCGACGCAACATACGCAACTATCTACACGCTGATCATTCGCGCGTCCTCGTTAGTGGGTCTTTAAAAATATATGTTTATACATATTTGGCAATTATGAAATTTGCGTACGTTATATTTATTTTTGTCGTTCTACAAGACGGATTGATTACTAAAGTTTTAGCACTTTCTGAGACCCTTCCTGAAGACATTTTATCCGCATTCAGGGAGCAAATTCAGGGAGCAAATTGTAGTAAAATCGTTAGGTAAGATTTGTCATATTCTACGAATCGAAATAATGCTTATTAATACTACTATCGTAATATAATCGGCGTAGCATACAAGCTAATATTGATAAAATCGTACACAGTTTTTGGGAGACGCATCAAGTCCCATATGTGGAAACATATAAGGTAAAAACATGGGGTATTTTTTATAAAACACGCTTTCGATGGAACTATAGAATTGAGGTAAGTTTTCAAGCATAGAATTTCTGTTTGAAGTGATACCTGCGACAAAATAATAGAAACAAAATTCAAAATATGTTTAATAATAGATGCACATAACGATATTTGTTGTTATTGAAAAATAAAATTATTATTCTGTAAAACAAAAATATTAAAATATAAATTATTGAGCTGAATGGTTAAAAAAAGGACGAATCTTTTAATTAGAAGTGTAAAAATAATATTGATCGTAACTGATAACTTTTATAATAATATTACCTTCAATAAAATTTGCAATAAAATATGCAGCTTATCTCGTAATGGTTAATATTAATATTTTAAAACGTCGATTAAATTTTTGTGGAAAAACTGTCATTTCGATTTTCAATAAGCATCGTTCTGTTAATCGAGTCGCCTATTATCAAACATCTCGTATTTGTATATTATTATCTAATATCCTACTGATTCTTTCGCGCATATAAATAGATATTTCGATATTGCTAATACGTGAAATCTCCGCGTTTATATTCTCAGTCTCGCAGATCATATCGCAGAGAATATTATTGTTGCGACGGATACGCGCCCGGATACACGGATACAATCGAAGGGGAAAGGTATGTAAATGTATTTGGGCGGGATCCCGTGTGTAAACCGATTTGTCAACCTAGCTGCGGACACGGTACATGCATACGTCCAAACGAATGCATCTGCAATTACGGATACCGCACGCAAGAAACGGCAGCACCTAACGTATCACGCTGTGTTCCTGTATGCACTCATTCTTGTGTACACGGCACATGTGTCGCACCCGAAACTTGCGAGTGCAATTCTGGGTATAAATTGAGCGGCCATTCTGGACATACCATGATCGCTCGTTATACCTGCGAACCCGTCTGCAGCGTGCCGTGCGCTACAGGGTCATATTGTTATGAGCCCGATAAATGTCTCTGCTTGAACGGATACAAAATGAGCGAACAAGATGAATTAACCGAAGTAGGTAAACAATATAAACATTTCGTTTGATTTATTTATTCAATTTGAATTTTGCTTAGTTAATACGATATCGATGTTGACAGAAAATAAAAGCTGAAAAATTACAAGATGTTGACAAAGATAACACACGATGTAGAAAAGAAGAGCGTATTAATAATAAAAATTCACATTTTATGTTTAGGTGTGCCAACCTATCTGCGAAAGAGAGTGCGTTCACGGCAAGTGCACAGCCCCTGATACCTGCACCTGTGATCACGGTTACGACCCTGACCCATACGACTTATTCGTCTGCAAGCCCAAGTGCGAGCACGATTGTCTCTACGGCAAGTGCACCGCGCCCAATGTGTGCACCTGCGACGAGGGTTACTCGTTAAAAACCCCGAGCGTTTGCGAACCAATCTGCAGCGAAGCTTGCGTTATGGGCACTTGCGTGGCTCCCGAAAGCTGCAGCTGCTTCACGGGTTACGGGCTGCTCGAGAACTCGAGGTACGTCTGCGAGCCGGTCTGCGAGAAGGCTTGCCTCAATGGGCGATGCACCGCGCCTGGCGTATGCACGTGCAACGAAGGATTCCAATTGAGTGGCGACGAAACGGAGAAGCACATTTGCAAGCCTCACTGCGAAATGTCTTGCGAACCGTTCGGCGTGTGTACTGAGCCGGATGTCTGTACCTGCTATGAGGGATATCGACTGATTGAAATGACAAGTGCTAAAAGAACAGTTAGTATTAAAGATTTGTCGGATAAAATTTGTTATTTAGCGACTTTAAATAATTATACTAAATTCCCCCAACGCACATGCATATTTAAAATAAAAAATGCTATTTCTGTTGTTTCAAGAAGCGTCATAGGCTAATTCTTTATTACATGAAAAATATTGCTTTTCAGATTTTTAAATATCTTCTCGGTTTCGACAAGTCGGTTTGCATGCCAGTCTGTGATATAACGTGCATCAATGGACACTGCATTGCGCCGAATACGTGCAATTGCGATGATGGCTATCATCCGTCAGGCGTCAATAATACCAGCTTCTGGTGCGAACCCACATGTGCCCAGAATTGCATCAACGGCTTCTGCAGCGAGCCTGAAACTTGCACGTGCAACGAGGGCTATCGCCCTTCCAATTCTTCGCATGACGTGTGCGAGCCATTCTGCGAGACTGATTGCGTCAATGGATATTGCACCGCGCCAAACGAATGCACCTGCAAATCCGGTTATCAACCTACCGAGGGTAATCGTACGAGCCTCTGCGAGCCTATTTGCGATCCGAGTTGCAAGAACGGTATCTGCGTGCAGCCCGACGTATGCAGCTGCAATCCGGGCTACCGTTCATCGGCGAGTCCTAACAGTAAGACGAACATGTGCGACCCTATCTGTCACCCGGCCTGCGAGATAAACGGTATCTGCGAGGCGCCCGATCTCTGCGTCTGCAAGGACGGTTATCGCATGATTTATTACGACGGTGGAGACGTCCCGTTCGGATGCGAGCCGATCTGCGGCGTCGAGTGCGGCAACGGCACGTGCACGGCGCCGGACCTCTGCGCGTGTTTCGACGGTTATCGAAACGCGAAAATCGGCGGATGCGAGCCCGTCTGCGCGAGCTGCGGCAACGGCACGTGCGTCGCGCCCGAGGTTTGCGAATGCGACGATGGATTCGTCCTTGCGGGCGCGAACCTCGAACTCGCACTATTCGGAACAAAGGAATCTCGAGCCTCGATTGTCCCTGAGAATGAAACGAGAAACGGAAGTAGATGCGTGCCGCATTGCGAGAATTGCGACAACGGCGAGTGCGCGGCACCAGGTGAGTGTCGATGTCGTGCCGGTTTCGTGAAGATCGAAGACACCTGCGTGCACGCGTGCCAGGACGGTTGCGGTACTCACGGCGAGTGCGTCGCGGAACGAAGGACTTGCGAGTGTGATTACGGATGGGCCGGACCGCACTGCGATCGGCCAACGTTGTGCGTTTTGATCTTGAACGAAGAAGGAAATCGTACTGAGCAGTAAGTATATGTACGAATCCGTTAAGGGCATTATAAATTGATGCTTCCCGAAGCATTTATTCATTAACGATTAAATGAGCAAAAAAATGAGCGTCACAACGTTAGAACACGGGTATATTATCAGAAAAGCTTTGATTATGATGATATCTAAAATAAATTGCTTATGAATCGTCTGTGAATCATTTACCTTTTGCAGATTGACAATTATTAAAGAACAGAATGCTACGATCGAGAATATACTCATGAATAACCCAGCATGTTCCGAGTGTATCGGTAAAGTAAGTAATGAAACTTTGTGCTTTAAGATGTTGGTCAACGGTACAAAAAATGAGACGCAAATTGGTTGCTTAATGAATGAAGGTTTGTTATAAATAGATTTTTTTTGTATAAATATATTACATCTCAATTGAAGCAAATTTATTTATTACATTCATACAGCTTAAAAGATAAATTAGTAAATTTTAACTATTAAAAAGTTTCAAGTATTAAAAAATATTTTCCTTTATTACGTAATGATATAAATTTATTAAAGCACTGAAAATTTTACACTTACTTCCTTGTTACACTTTCTCAAATATTTATATACTCGCAATAGAGTTAATTGTTAAAAATATTCTTTTACGTAATTCGTCAAAATTATTTTCTGCTTTAATCCCAAATTTTTCGATGAAAAAATAATTTCAAAGCACAAAAATTCGAAAATATTCTATGGAATATTTATGAGTATTATTTGAAATGTTTACTACATCAATTATTAACGATTTTTATATCTACTTATCATAAATTTTGAAATCTTCTGTTTTTCTTTCAATATTTTGTAATAAACCAATAAGAACTTATTACTTTTTCATACTAGAATGTCTTGCATTAAACAGTCAATATAAGGATCAAGGAAAAATAATCAAACTAACAAGTGGAATCGCAGGTGGAATATTACTTCTAACAGTTATAATAATGATATATCTGATATTACGAAAACGTCAAAATAGACAGGATCTAGGTATGAAAATTATCAAATTTTATTAGATTATCTAAAATAACGATGTATAATAACAATTTTCTAAATTATACACATTTATCTTAAGATGGTCTAGAAAGGTAAAATTTATCGATAAAAATTCATTTAAAAAAAGATCTTTAAAAAGATCTTTTTTTAAGAAGAAAATAAATAAAGATTTTAAAAAAGCACTTATCGATAAAAAATAAAGTTAAAATTATTCACATCTACTAATATATGAAAAATCTATGCTTATATATTTCTTAAATTATATATTATTACTTAATTTATAGCTTAAATTCTTTTTCCCTGATGCTTTTTTTAGTCTTATAAAATACATGAGAGATATAGACATTAAAAACAAATACTTTAATTAATTAATTAATTATTCTTATTAACAGGCGAAGTTCAGGTAATTTGCAGACACAGTACATCGATGCAAGGACTAATTGAATCGAGTGCCAACAATTCTTAACACAAAATAATATACTTGTAAAGTCTTAATATAGAATCTTCGAGCTTTTTGAAGTAATAACAATGATAAAAGAGCAATTTCTTTATTAATTTAACTGATTAATTGTAAGTAAAAGTTAAAGAATTTATAAGATATGTATCTCTTAAAATCTTCAATAAATTACTATTAAAGTTTTTAATTTCTATCTATTTTTTACTTAGAAATTTATTTAAGATTATTCTGTATATCTGTATATACAGTGAAATAGAAAAATATATATACATTATCTTCTTTACTTAAATTAATTATCAAAAGGTTTAATATACTTATCGTTAGTAAAAAACAAAATTATTTGGGCATAAAAAATTAATATTTAAAAAATTGTTCATATATTTTTTCAATTATATTGTTAAAAAAAACTCTAAACACTATATACACCATCTCTAAAAAAACTATATACACCATCAGAAATTTGCCATTAATAAGTTCACAATTTATATTTCTTTTTCCAAATTATTCTGAGTTTTATAAGAAGCATGATTGTACGAGGCATATAAATAAATAAAAATTTATGTTGTACGAAACATTATAAAGCTGTGTTGTAGAGAATCTCTTTTAAGATATAAAATTTTTATTTCTATTATAATTTAAATAATTGACACTTCGTCAAATAATCTGCTTCGTGGGCTACTTATCATTCTCATAATTATTCTCATAAAACTATTATATTTTCTGATATTTTAGGTTAAATATTATCATTATCGTCATCCAAAAACTATTAACATAGCAAACGGACATTATACCTAAACTCTTTCGCATAATTGCACCTGTTTTCGAATAAATAGTAATTTCTAAAATAAATGTTTCTGTTAATCCTGTTTCCGGTGAATTTGTCTCAACACGAGTAATCGATTTTAAAACAAACTTTACGCTACGAGCACACAGGCTTTGAGTAACTTTTAAACCGAAGTCTTACGACGTGTGGTTCGTCACGACACGTGGCTTACATATATATGTCTGTCAATAAATTCGTCTCACGAATTAGCAAGCAACGAACGAATAACAAGTCGCAAAAGGTCTCATGGACGCGTTAGTTCGTCTAGTTTAAACTCATATAAGCTCATAGTCTTCAGCTCATCAGTTTGAAATATATAGCCAACGAGAAAAGATCGTGGTCGGTGCAGCAGTAATACATCTCTTCTTTTTTTTAATCATTTAATTAGAATGTTTAATATTGTTTCCATTCTTTTTCAAGAATCGTTTATAGCGTTCCTATCTTTATGTAAAGAATGCCTCAAGTTCCACAATAATTCTTCTTTCTCGTATGTTTCTAAAAGTTTCAAGGTTTTCTCATTCGATCACTCTTCATAAGTTAACATACAAGTTAACAATTAAATCACGTTTTTGGTTTTTATGGATTTTATCTTCACGGCTTCATTTTTAATCTCACGTTCTTGAGATATCTACTTAATGAGTTTTTTCTATTTTTAATTGTTTTGTATTTTCAATTTTTAATTTTCATGTGTCAGGTTTGTTCTGATTACAGACTATTAAGTAATGAATTTTAACGTCAATAACTTTCTTTATCCACATAACTTTTTGACCACGCTATCAAGAATCACATTGCTGATTTAATAAACGTTGAAAATTAACTATCATTTATCATTTG